CATGTATCTACCTCTTCTAGTAAGTCAATGACTGTACAGAGAAGCAATTACAATCTCACCCTAGTTTGACACTACCGTTTTGAAAGACTAAGCATGTTTTTTCCCTATTAATGTGCCCCGAGGTCCTAACAAGCCACAAGTGAGTCCTTTCAGCTTTACCTATATTGTATTTTGGAGTCAGACCTAGATGTTAACCTAACCCAAAGGTGCAGTGGGTGAGAGGCTTCTGCAATACGGTTAGAACTCTAAAGTTCCTGGCAGTAGAGTGGAATTGATCCCACCTCGCATTTTGCATGCAATATTGGCCCGGGTTCAAGCCTCCGGGAAGGATGGGGTGGGGTGAGGAAGGACCATATAGGAATCAATCCTTAACTGTTCGCCCCTGTTCACTCAGCAGGAAATAGGGTATAGATGTAGTTGTAAATTGATTGGCAGATCAATTTCCAGGAAAAGCTAGTCAAGTAAGCCATAATATGAAGTGTGGAAATTAAATTTAATCTAGAACTGGGTATTTGTTTACTGTATTTGTACTGTATAAATGACTTCATTGTGCCAAAAATATAAATATAATTAAATAATCTCTGCATGTATGCAAGTGTATGTACTTGCTTAAATGCACTTACAGGGTTGAAGAAAAGTTGTTTAATGTAATGACTTTAGTCACAATTTTCTAATCATATTTACATTAAAACTGTGTATTGAGAGAGCTACGGCAATGTCATCTAATATTTCTTTCATGACTTGTACACTGAACAAATGATTTCCTACATCTGTGATTCTATTTTTTTTTTATTGCTCATATTGCTTTCAAAAATACATGGTCAATTCATTTTAAAATTTTGTATGTTATTATATCTACTATATTCCTTCTTTCCTACAGGTTTCCTCAAACTTTCATCATATTTCACCCCCCCCCCCTCCTTAGCTAAGAAATGGGCCCTTGTTTATGTTTTCATTTGTTCTATACTTTTGTTTGTGTGTTCCTATAGGTTGAGATTTCATGCCAGGGCCGCATACTCAAGAATAGGTCTAACATGTGTCCTATATATATATATCTTAAAATGTGCCTTGTTCAATTTTCTAACAGTTATCTAGATGCTGATCAGTTTAGAATAATCTACAAGTATTACTCTGCTGATGTGTTTGGTATCAGATTAGGGGTTATGTCAGATCCAAGGACCCAACCAGCCTTCATAATGTATTGTAATTAGGCTCAACTCACTCCTACTATCCTCAAAGCTTTGCATTTATTTTAATTAGTCCAGTAGCCATTTTTCACACTATAATAATTAATTCCCATTATCAGGGGACAGGAAGCCTGTACTTAGGCTTGTATTGAGGTCCCTAATGGATCCCTAATTTTGAGTCAAGAGTGTAGGCTACTGTACTACAGCACTTTATCCCTGTAAATTATGTAGTTCCTTCTGCAATCGACAAAAAATGACACGAGAACTTTTTTTTCCTATTAAGTCACATATGTATACAGTATTAGGAACATGATAACCCTATAGTCTGACATTCACATTCTAATATCTCCCAGCTGTGACCCTTCATATCCTTCCTGAATGGTACACTTTCTCTAACCTAGCACTTTTATTTTTCCCCCACTACACCAGCTGTTTTTTCAAATTTGAATACAAGTCTCTAGTAAAGGAAAATATTGAACACTTTATGACAACAAAGATGCAGTTTTCCCAAATCCACTCATTCTGCTGTCATTTTGTCACAAAACTGAAATATCAGTTGGTAAAGCAGGATTTCCCTTTGCTGAATCTGTGTTGATGTTTGTAAAACAAATTCCACTGATACTGAACAAATCCACAAGGACCGTGACAAGGATTCGAACCTACGTCCGAGAGCATCCCAGACGCTGCCCTAATCGACTGAGCTACGACATGGTAAAAGGAGTTGAAACCGAAGTTCTACTGAACTTACTGGATCCTGCAGCCTCTCCGAGGCACAAACAGGATCAAGTAAGTTCAGGAGAACTGGCTGCAGGATCCAGTAAATTCAGTAGAACTTCGGTTTCAACTCCTTTTACCATGTCGTAGCTCAGTCGATTAAGGCAGCATCTGGGATGCTCTCGGACGCAGGTTCGAATCCTCGTCACGGCCCTTGTGGATTTGTTCATTTGATGCATCACGCAATTGTGATTTCTGTGTCCAATGATACTGGTTTTTTAGATTGTGGTTCCTGCCATCCTCTTCTCTTATATATTAACACCCCATTACCCATTTTCCAATTACAGTACCAGGAATTTCCAGATTTTTTGTGAAAAATAACAGCAAAGGGGTCTACACAATATGCAATTGCCTCTATTAATATCATATCCATAGTAAAATCTAATTCAGACACAAGGCTTTCATCATATCCAGCTCTCCTGAATATTTGTTTCCAACTTCTTTTGGTGTCACTTTCATTTTGGGAAATTCTTTTTGTAATAATTACTCCTTTAGAATAATACTGTGTATGATTCCATCTTGAAATCTTCCTGGATGCTTATATTGATTCTTCAAGCCCTTCCTTATTATTCTCAATACAGTTTATTTGCTGCTCTTTGAATTCCGTTCTATTCATTCACATCTCCTTTTTGTCTCCAAGAACTGTCAAACCAGCAAAGATTTGTTTAGCGCTCCTTCACCTTTAAGGGGTTATCTTGAGGTTTTCTTGAGATGATTTCGGGGCTTTAGTGGCCCCGCGGCCCGGTCCTCGACCAGGCCTCCACCCCCAGGAAGCAGCCCGTGACAGCTGACTAACTCCCAGGTACCTATTTACTGCTAGGTAGTAGGGGCATTCAGGGTGAAAGAAACTTTGCCCATTTGTTTCTGCCTCGTGCGGGAATCGAACCCGCGCCACAGAATTACGAGTCCTGCGCGTTATCCACCAGGCTACGAGGCCCCTCCCGAGACCCGAGGGTGGTATGTATCTTCCAATAGCTTCTTCAAATTTTCTTTTTTTAAGTCCATGTTTTTTTATCTGAATTCCATTTCTCAAAGTTTCTCAAAGTTTGAATTTCCTTTCTCATTTTCTCTTCCTCTTTCTACAGCCATCATTGCAATTCACAATTAAAATTTAATATAGCACAGTGGTCGGAGGCCCTCCAGTTAACATTTCTAGTTCAATAATGCCAATGTAAATCTCTATTTGAAGACCAGATCTAGCCTTGCTGGTTGGTCCTCCACCGTCTATGTGTTTCCTCCCTGACATGTTGCACTAGGAATTTCTACCCAGTTGTCAAGTGTGTTTATTTCTGTCACTGTTTTGTATATGGTGATCATATTGACTCTTTTTCCTTCTATCTTCTAACCTTGGCTTTTTTAATGCCTCTGGCCTCTCTCTTTAGTCTGTTTATCAGATCTGGAAGCCATTTATTAGAATGTCCCTGCACCCTTTCTAGTTCACTGATGTGCTTTTTGAGATATAAACACCACACCACTACTGCATATTCTAATTATGGTCTCAAGAATTTTGGGAACAATTTATTAATCCCGCATCACTCCAACTAATTTTCTCATTGATATATAATGTTAGTGTGATGTCCTTGTGCATGGATTCCATTTTTGTCTTCTGGTCTCAGGCCTTCTTGCATTTTCTACTGAACCTGTCCTGTTTTCTGATTGTATACTGTATCTCTTAAAATATGGCATGCACCTCATTTATTATTTTACCTAACAACAAACCATTTCAATTGCAAAAACTCTTAAAAAACTAACCCATGAACTAAATGAAAACCCATTAAACAGCTCTTTTAGACTCCCTTAGTTCCCCCTAGTTAGTTTCTCTGTTGTCTCACTTCCCCATAACTTCTATATTATAGTGTACTGCTTAATTTATTTCGATATATGTGGCCACTCATACCTATTGGAGGTAGGTACTGCAACTTAAGATTTTTTTCCTGTTTAATATTATATCCAGTATTGATAGAACATCCTCTTTCTTCACTCTCACTGGCTGTTTAATGTGCTAATACATAAATATTTTCAGAGAGAGGTTCATTTGTTGTTGTTTAAGATTCGCTACCTGGAACAAAAAGTTCCAAGCAGCACGGGCTATGGTGAGCCCGTAGTATGAAAAGCGGTTCATTAACCTGCTTATCCAGATGTCTGTTATCCTTATATTATACCTGCTTTCAAATTAAACTCCCAAAATACAAGCAATCATGGTTTATCTTTATTTGCTTTTCATATTATCTCTCTCATGATCATTAATAAGACCCTCCCACTTGTTCCCAATTTCCTCCTTTGTTCATGTATTGTTTGCTGGTGGATTGAAGGCAATAATGAGCATCAATTCTTATTTGGTCTACCTCCAGTGTCACTATGTCCACATCCCTCTAGATGTCAAGAATTTATTCTTTTACTTTAAATTCCGTTTTACAAGCAGAGTATCACTTCCATCTTTTCTGCATTTTTGTATCACAAAACTAAACTGAGTAGCACTGTGAGAAAACTTAAATAAAAATTCTTAAGTACAATCTCTACCAGTGACAATATCAGGTATTTCACCATTATCAGATATTTAACTCGCGTGTTGATTATTTCACCCCATACATATACTGTATGCTTTTATACTGTATTTTTAGGAACAGTTAACTTCTCTTGTTTTGTTTACTTCCCCTCCTACGTAGTTCTATTCTTGGTTGTCTATTATGTTCCTGTGCATGTCTGAGTCTAAACATTTGTGTGTGTATGCGCCAGCAAGTGTGACTGCATAATTACCAAAGTGCTAATGGCTTCTCATTTTACCAATAATATTTGTCATATGATAGTTTGTGTACATGTCTATATATGCATGTATTTGTGCATGTCTGTGATCCATTTTATCATTCCTAATGACAACTATACTGTATGTAAGACTAAGGCCTGCTAATGTTTTGATATTCTCTAAACAAAATATATATATATTAAATCTATGTCCACTGCCAATACATTTCCAATGCAGAATATTCCTTGTTCCAGTGATGGCTACCTCTTCTGCAACAAGATAATGAGAACACTCACCAGCTGGTGTGCTTGAGACTGCGTTACGGGTGCTCCTTGAGAGGATGGGTGGACGTCTTGACTCCCGTCCCCCCCATATCCCTCTAATCCTGAGAACCCAGCAGGCATCTCACTTAACCACTGCCAGGACAAGATAAAAACATCAAAATTAGGTATCGGGCTTCTTTCACATGGCCAGCAAACATAAAATAAGTCTGGAAACTGCTAGTCAACAGGATAATTCAAATAATGAGGATATATAATTCTCATTTAAAATCTCCATTTACAATTTAAAGGTAAGGATGGTAAATTAAATCTTGCATAATAAGTCTTTAACAGTAACAAGAAAAAACAATAATTAATTTTATTTAAATATGCTGTCATTCTAATATTTTTAAAACAGGAGAAATGTCAAGAGATAATATATATACTATATAAGATATACCATATGCAGTTTCCATTGGGATGCCAATCATATGGTTGTTCAATGTATGTACAGATGAAGTACTTTAATTAAAGAGAATGAAATTAGGTGAATATATAGTAAGACTTACTAAAAAGGATAATCTAGAAAGCAGGCAGAGCCAATTAAAAATAGTAATGTTGGCACAGTTTTATCCCTTTCAGTCCCATCAAAACAAATTCCCGCAACATTTTTTATTCAAAACTTAAACAGTTAAACAGTGCATCGTCGCTCTAATGAATTCTGGGAAGGTCCAAATAGTTTGTGTTCTGAACACATTGTTCGGTGCAACTAACAAACGTTCGCTTCAGCGAGGATGGTAGATCTCGGCTGCCTCGCCTGGCCGTCGGGATGCGGCCACATTAGTATCCAACTTAACTGTATACTGTACTATTGTACAGTCCATAAAAGCTTTTGCAAATATAAATTTGGGACATTATTTTATAAATTAAATTATAAAATAATATTTAACAAAATACTCACAAAACAGCCAAAAGCAAATCGTTATTGTATTACTGTATATGACTCATCCATGCTAAGAAAAGTTTATGCTAAGTCCAAATACTGGGTATTGGTAAATACATAAAAACTTAAAAAATACAAATAACTCAATAACTATTCAGTATACAAATTACCAAAAACAGATGTGAAAATATTCCCATCACTGTCACACTGCTTCTAACACCAGAGCTGCAAGGCATCTATAAGTTGTCACTGTACATATATATGTACATTGTTTCAATCCTTCCTTCGTGGTCTGACACTCACATTTTTCATCACGTGTTAATTTTCGTGATTTATACACACATACCGACTATTATTTTTTGACTGACCGGATGTCTTACAGTAGCAACTATGCTGCTGAAGATTGTGAGAAAAGTGGAAATATATTTCCGTTGGGCAGAAAATTAACATGACACGTGTTGTTGCGAGATGGCTTATTATGTTAGCTGTCTCCACCACAACCATCCTCACATTCACTCACTGTAGACCAAAGAGTGAGTTTGCTCAAAAGTTAACACTTTTGAGAACACTTTGAGCACAATCCTTTTGCTTTTTTTGGGTCTAATAATAATTGTATATTTATGATTATTACACCAAATTGAATTTGAATTTGTGGTAATTTTTTATATCAAGATTGATGGAGGTTTTGTTTGCAAATCTTGGACACCGTTACTTGTACACCACAATAATTGTTATAGTTATACTTTTGATATAGAATGGTTCGCTAATGATTGCTAACAATATACTATGGTCGAAAGGAAGAATGTGCAAAAAATCATTTTGTTGTAAATTTGTAAACCTAGACCAGAGGATGCTTTAAGTGTAAATCCTAGAAACTTGTGTATATGCCACCAATAATTTTCATATTGTTATACTTCTGCTATGTAATGGGTTGGCAAAGATTGCTCATCATGCATGGTCAAAATGAAGGTTGCTTAATACATATACAGTGGAACCTCTATTAACGAATTTTTTCCAGTAACGAGCAAGCCACTCGCAGCAAATTTGTCTCTATTGACGAGCTCGCCTCTATTAACGCGTGAAACCACATGGTGCTTCCTAGCATCTCGCGGGTTCTCGCAAATTCTCGGACGCCTCCGACGCCAGTGTTGTTGTTGTATCTCACACGACAAGCATCCCTCTGGATTTATTTGAGCTTTTCTTAGGGTTTTTAGTGGTTTTGCGACTACAATTTGTAACACACGATGTCTCCAAAGAAGCTGCTTGCTAAAGATAGTGTTGTAAAGAGGAAGAAAGACACAATTACTGTTGATTTAAAGAAAGAAATTATAGCAAAGCATGAGTGTGGTGTCTGTGATTGATCTCACAAGGAAGTATGGCAGGTCCTCATCAACAATTTACACCATTAGTAAGGGAATGAGGAGGTAAGGGAGGATGCTGCCTCTTCCACTGAGATCAGGGAAGTGTTTGGAATGTTTGAAAAGGTGAACGCATTCTTGGAAAAGCTGCCCTGATAAAGCAGTGACAACCCGGTGTGTGAAAATGTTTAATTAATTTATCACTTTGTGATAACATTTTATGAAAGTGTTATCACTTTCGCAGGTATATGTCGCTTGAACGTAACACACTTTTTTTTCTCTTGAATGCACCCAAACACCGCGCTCAAGCGTCATTTGAGCAAATATTCCTATAAAATCCAATTCTTATCCGATCGACTTGGGGATTGTATACATGTTTGCCATGAAATTTCCGTTTTCTTTAATAACCACATTGCCTATTTGAGAAAACGGCATTGTATTGTATCTTCGTGGTAAGACTATTATATTGTTGACACGAGTGTAATCAACGTAGTTTTTTATTTGGTGCTGGTCTAACGCATCCTTGTGTGACATTTGAAATGAAATTTGGGTGAAATTCCCAAGAAGAGAGAGTCCACCTGACTCAGAGGTGGATTCTCCTTCCACACCATAACCCCTCTCCTCCTTCCCACCTCTCCATCGTCTCCCTCAAGCCAGCAACTACTCTTCATAAGGTAAATATTAAAACACTACAACAAAACATTTATATTTACATGTGCAGTATTATATTTACATAAAAAAAAGTCATACAAGTATGGATGTTTTTGGGAGTGGAACGGATTAAATTTATTTTCTTTATTTTAAATGGGGAAATTTGCTTCCAAAGACGAGTTTTCCAGGTAACGAGCTCGGTGCCAGAATGGATTAAACTCGTTAATAGAGGTTCCACTGTATATTTTTTACTGTTGGGGATGGGTAGGTTATATGACGACGTTTCGGTCCGTCCTTTACAATTATCAAGTACTGTTGATTGTGATAATTAGTGATTGTGAAGTGATTGTGATTGTGACCTGATAATGGTCCGGGACGGACCGAAATGTCATTGTCTCTTCATCTTCTAGTGTGTGGTTTAGTCTTCAAATTCCTTATGCAAGGAACTGTCTTCACCCCACAGGGTTCCTCCAAGTTCACACTATATATACACTGCTATTGACAAAATTTGGACTTCCAGTTGTGTGTACGGGTTTCTCAAGAGAACTCAATAAGCACCTCCAAAAGATAGCTGATCTACCAGGCTGTGATTTATATGTAAGGCTGCGAGCAGCCGCGTCCAACAGTCTTGAGATTTCACCAATATAAAAATGTTTTGTCACATATACAGTTCATAACGTTTCCTATGACCATATAAATCAGTTTTACCTTCAGGTGACTGACTCATATATAACTGTAGGGCACGAGTGCCATACTTGACGCAGTACATTATTACCAACAAATACAAATTCTTTTACAATTGTAGCCAGAAAAAAACTATCATGTTAGTTTAAGAATTGGCTGCATAGATATTTTAATTTTATCATATTAGATAAAAGCACTGAAAGGGTTAAAACTGAAATGCCACAAAAAAACAAGTTGAATAAATTAAAACACTGTAGAGTACAGTACTTGCACACCATGATAATACTGCTAAGTGAGAGGAGTCTACATGTAAGGTGAATTGTGGTACAATATTGTCCTTTCACAAAATATCAATAATGTAGTGAGCAAAATTCCTCTAAGAGTACTTGAACCACCATTATCTGTATAGTACTGTACCAAGATTCTGAGGCTGAGTAAATTAAGTAAAACCAAAGAATATTTTGTACCAAAAAATAGAAAAGCTAACCACAGAAAAGAGAAAAATATTAATTTTATACAAGTGATCAATTACAAATAAGACTCGCTTTATACCACCAAACACTATGGGATAACGAAATGCCTCAATTTCTGAGTAGAATACATACCCCCTGCATTCCAGAGGGTCCTGCTAACGCCTCTACAACTGCCTCCGGTAGTGGCTGTGCTTGTCCTTGTGAAGGATTGACTTTATGTTCAAATTTGTTAGGCAACATTTGACTTGAAGGATCTTCTTCACCACCCCCTGACCCATCTAATCTAGAGTCACTTCCCATAGACCCGTAGTCCATCCCTGAGTCCACAACATCATCTTGACTGTTGTCCACATGATCGACCATTTCCTCTTTGACTAGAGATTCATCTACCATGACCTTGAAAAAATAGAAGACAAAATTAAATTACTTGTAATCTATATTACGGTAAATGTTTGCTTCCTGAAATTTGAAGATTTGGAACAGATTTGATTTGCACTTTTGAAGCATTAAACAATATCAAATAATTTCACAAACCTCGACCTGTGGAGGAGTTGGTGAAGAACGGCTGGTAGCTGTATGATCACCCAGTCTGTCATCTAGTGGGTGGTCTGTACTTTGTTCCTCTCTTTCTGATGATCTTTGCTCCATCCATTGACTGTCTGATTGTGTTCTTGATGTCGAGTGCTGGGTTTCACTTTCATTATGGAATGGGGATGCTCTTGGAGAGGCTGGAGGCGTAGTTGAAGTTTGTGCTCCTTGCATATATGCATTACTTTCTTCACGTCTTCTCCGTTTAGGATGTGGACTACTTCTGTCATCGGTGGCATTACGGGACTGGGTCAATCTTTTGTTGCTCGATTCTGATATGGGAGGCTCATCGGGAACAGCGAGCCCTTTAACTCTCAACACTTCTGCTGCTTTAATTAACCGTGCTAGATCATTTTGTGCAACACTTACAGCACCTTCATACATGTAGCTTAAGAGAGCCTCTAGTTCATCAGTTTGTACATCTTTCAACACAATAACTGGGTGTTTACACGGGGTGTTTTCAAAGATTTTTTCAAAGTATTCACTACATGTTGATAAAACCAACTTGTGTACTTGATAAAATTTCCCCTCACAAGCTACAGTCACATCAGTGTATCTTTCCTGCAATTGGAAGAACAAATATTTGAGTATATTTTACCATTACCTTACATATTTGATACCATCCTACTTGAAAAAGAAATATGCATCAAAGAGCACAAAATCAAAACTAACAAAAAATATATATTATTTAATCACAGTTGATCAAGAAAGGTATACAGTGTGAATTACCTATACAGTGTGAATTACCTAAGTGAAATTACTTGAGAGCTATGCTCTTAGTACCGTCTACCCAGTACTGTCATGTGAGGCATGAAACTACTGGTGGTTTTGGTCTCCGACTCCTTTTTCACTTAACTTGTTCCAACCATCTACTACTGTTTGCTAAAGTGAACATTGTAATATTATTTTGGCAGCTTTGTTTCCTTAGTTTGAACCTGTACATAGTGATCATATGTATCACTCTCTTTTTCTTCTATCTTCTAGCTTTGCTATACTAGTATTTAACACCTCTAATCTCTCCTCATAGCTCTTGTTCTTTTCTAGTTCCATGAACCATTTAGTTGCATGCCTTTGCATGCGTGTGTAATTACCTAGGTGCAATTACCTAAGTGTGTGAGGTGTGCAATTATTTATATATAAATAATGTGTATGTATGTATGTATTTATGTATACACATACAGTATACTGTATACAACCAGACGGTAACATTTACCATTTACTACAAAAACAAAAAACACCAACTTGCACATGAAGAACTATCCCGACACCAAGTCAAACTTTCAAACACAAATATAATCTTATGCCTATATGTATAATGTATACATATTTCTTATCGAATATGACCAAAAGGGTCAAGATCAATAACTTGTACAGTATAAATTTCTTATGTTCTTCAGAAGATGAAAAAGAATAAGATGATATTTGTCTATTTGAAAGTTTGGCTTGGTGTCGGGAGAATTCTTCATGAACAAGTTGGCATTCTTTTTGTTTTTGTAGTAAATGGTGAACGTTACCTACTGGTTAGTTTTGGTAGTGATCATGTTTCTGTCAATGATGTCTTTCAAGGCTTTCTCCTCAGTTTCGAGGACCACTGTGGAATGTAACTTTACTTGAGCTGTAACCAAACCACCCAGCTCCGGACCTCCCAACCACTGTGGAAGATTACAATAAGTGGGACAGATTCTGAAGACGCTGTCTTACAAACTTACTTTTTCCCTGAGTGTTGAAAGGATGTGACAAAATGTTGCTCTGTGATTGTTCCATGATAAAGATAACATTCCATCCGCCATCTTGATATAGCATATAAAAAAAAATCTGGAAAAAGCAAATATATAGTTAGATAACCAATGTATATACAAGTTATAAAATATATTACTGACAAGTTTACCTAAATCTGGCAATACTAATTTATCCTTATGCCAGACACAATGCAGTTTCTTCTATTGAATGGTAAGCTGAACATGCCACAAGCTGCTGGGCTGAGCACCCATCTAGTTGAAGCAGAGATAACTGTCTAGTGTATTAAATGGCCCATGTCTGCACTAACTACTGATGGAAACATCTTTTTGGTGTCACCTGAATTGTATAACTATTTACATTACCAAGATTCATCATCTCCAGCACAAAATAGCTATTGAGTAAGTTTTCTGGCAAATTTAATATACAATACATATTTTTTTAATTAAAATATAATCATGCCAATTCATAAAAATCATAATATTTTCAGTATAATAATAAGTGAAGTCATTCACTTTGAGAAAGGCTTTGGATCCCATTAGTGCCAGCTCACAGAAATCAAAACAAACTGGCAGTTAACTTAATTTTTTTTTTAATTTTGCCCCGAGGGGCGAGTTTACTGGGAAGCGCCACTCGTCCTGTGAGTGGACATACTGACATAGCAGCATGTAGAACACCTCCCAATAGGAAGAAAACCTGCTGGGTTGTTCATCCTGTCACTTGTACCCAGACACAGCTGGGACTTGCTTAACTGTCTCAAGTGAACAGCTTCTCAAACAAGATTAACATTTGTCAAACCTTAAAATCTTACGTTATCTTGCGGGTGCAAAATGGGGGAATTTTTTATGAACAGTACAATATCTGTGTTTGACAAATAATATTTTCCTAACTCAAACAATGTGGGGTTTATTATTCTACACATATTTCTAATGCTCTTAGATGTTCACATTCTCTCATGTAGTGGTCAAGGTGGTGTCCATCACTCTCACCACAGATTCTGCAACTCCCCTGCTCAACTGTTGTTTCCATTCCGAATCTCCAAGGATATTTTTATCCAAGATTCTTTAGATTTATTCTTGCTATTACTGATTCCCTCCCAGATCCACCTCCTCTTCGTCCATGATGATTGGGATTGCCACCTGCAACCATATTGTACCAGAATACAGATTCACCGATTTGTTTTTCTTTCCTCCTTTCCTCAGTTGCCAGTTTGTCAGAGTTTCGCAGAAGATGCACTCTGTCGGGGTTCACCAATCTCCCAGTTGCACCTGTAACCTAGACGTAGTCTATATAACCGAACTGCTATTTCATTGTGGATTCCTTTTGGGATATTTAATCTTTCTAATTTGGTTGCCTGAAGATACAGTACCATATTGCAGAGGGCGATCCTTCAGCTACTCTCTGGTGTAGATAGGGTTTGTTGAGGTGTGAGTTTTTTGGTGATGATGTTTTTTATGTTCTCTAGGCTGGGTTGAATTCTTTTATGTATCACTGGATGACGAGTTGCCAATTTAGCAATTTCATCAGCTTTCTCATTTAATGGGATTCCAACATGGGATGGGATCCAGTTTAAGGTTATGTTGAGTCCCAAGTCAACTTTTGCATGTTCCTATAAATTGATGGAGCACCTTTCCCCCCCCCCTCCTTGTTAAGGCCGACAAGCGATGCCAAGGTGTGATCAACCCATTCAATTGTTTCAAATTAATTTGAAGTTATTTATTATTTGCTTGTGATGACAATATGCTTTTGTTTGTGGAGAGAGTGAAACTGAGTTCAACATATTTCCTTCCAAGGAGTTCAACGGACTGTTTAATTTTTCCCAAGGTGGGAGCTTGTATTAGGATATCATCTGCATATCACACTTTGTTGTGTTCCTTCTGGAAATTCAATATTTGCAATGACGTTCATAAGGATGTTGAATAGTGTGGAGCTTGAGACCCACCCCTCAAGGGAGACAGAGTTCCATACTCAGTTGTCAAGACCGTTCCGTTAAACAGACCTTTGGTGTCCTCCCTGTCAAGTTACCACCATACTGTATTGAGGAACTATGACAAAAATCAGTTGTTTCTCTCAGATACTCAGGTAAATCAATCAGTCTAGCAATGATGAACTGTCAATCAACACAACGGGCTTTGCAGTAATGTGCTGTCAATTACAACACGACCAATACAGAAGCCACAAGCCATGGCAGGCAAGGAACAACAACAATACCAGCATTAATGAAACTATGAGAGTATAGTGAAGGTGGACGCTACTTAAGTCTCTCATTGTACACCATCACAGCTTACTATACTGCTTATATTTCTAACTACAGCTGAATTCGATGTGTATATATATAACGAGGACTCCTGAGTGGGGTGAGGAAGTATATAAAACACTAAAGCAACGGTGAGGAGGCGAGGGAGGAGCTATAATGCATCAGAGTGATGGCAGCGTCATGGTGGCGGCGGCGGCGGCATGGCGTGGGGGGAGGCCGCCTCCCGCCCTCTCCTTTGTCTTATTTCACCACCTTCCTCGCCTACCACACACACCGTGGTGCCCTCACCACCACCACACCCACACCATACACACCCGCCGCCCCTCACCCGCCACCACCCACCACAACCAACCCGTCCACCACACCAGACAAATATGAACCACGGAGACAAGGGATGCCACACCAACGGTGGTCCTCGCCTGCATCAGCGGGGATAAAACCCTTCCTATCTCTATGGCACCGCCGGCCATCACCGCCTCACCACCGCCACACCGGCTCCTGTGCCACACACAGGCAGCCTAACTCATGCCCAGGGAGAAAAAGTAGATTATAATCACCTAAGATAGAGGTAATAGTTGTGTGGTGGAGGTGTGTGCTGCTGGCCGGGGCGACGGGTGTGTTGTGGTGGCCGCGCAGGGCTGCCACACGCCGCCCACCTCATCCACATCTCTTACCTATCATAAAACTCTATTAACACCCTTATTTACCTTATCTGAACTATTCATACAGTGGGTCAGTTATGGTAATGCTCGGCTACATTTATTATATGTGGGCGGGATGTTGTAATGGGCGGTGTAGGCCCGCGCGCATAATATAGGCTCTGGACGCGATTATTGATGTCTTTGCATGGTAACATTAATTTATTCCTGTACAACCATAATGGGCTTCCGGACTGTACCAGGGAATAATTTTTTTAAATCTTAACTCATTTCTTGCTAATTCATTTATTTCAACGTTTTGATCAACATTATGTCTTGCAACCTATTAGGATGGATTTAATTATTTATACATTTTACTTAGGCTTTATTACTTCGTGGAGAATGTAATTATGCATAGTTATAATGTTTAACTTGGTAAAACCTACTCTTCATATCATGTATATTGAACCTTTAGACCTCAAACATAACTAGCCAAAACAATACCATGCAATGCTCATCCGTTCTAAGGGGAAAGTATTTAATATAATTACTTATATCAAGATAATTTCCTTGAGTACAAGATGGCGATTTCCGTCAAAATTAAAAATTAAAAAAAGCTCCATAGTTGGCAACAATGAGTGCGCGGCGGTACCAGCCGGCTGTTGCCACTTCTCCATTATGGTCGTCTGCTACTTATTGAAATTTAACCATAGAACAATAGTTCCTACTTAAAATTTTGTACATTAATGTTTATTTATTAATAAAACGCATGAAATGCATAGATGAGGTAAAGAGGCGCACCTGGCTCTTTTAGCCACATGTGGGAAAGCGTCATAGTTGGTATGCATGCGCCTACGCGATGCGCACCACTGTACAACTCTAGTACATCAAATTAAAAAGAAAGCTGCTTACACTGTGGCTCATGTCAAGAATTGATCATTTCTGTTGCAGTAGAAGCGATCTCGAACCCATTGTTGATGTGACGACTTATATTGAATTTTGTAACTAGCTCATCAAGATTGTAACTTGCTTAGCTAAATGAATTGTGGGGTTCAGTCCCTGAGCCCATTATGTGCCTCTGTAACCCTTTCCACTACCCCCTACAAGATGGGTATGGGGTGCATAATAAATGAACTAAACTAAGTAGAAGCGTCACTAAGCACGTCTCTTTAAATTGCCGAATATTCTTCCGAGTTTGAATATCCTGGTAGCACTGAAAGACCGATATTACCAGAATGACAATATGTTCTCAATTTAAAGAGCAAGCGAGTTGTTTAATGTCATATACTGTAATGTACCTACTGTAAACCCATTATCCCCCCCCCCCTTATCGTACCAACAACAAGCGGGTCCCGGTAGAAAAGTCTGGTTCGGTCTCTAATCCGAGGTCATGTATTTGGTCTTTATTGATGAAAACTTACTGTGCTGCTTGCAGGTCTGTGTTCGATCTCCGATGGTTCAGGTGGAGCACCGTTCATTTCCCTCCATCTAAGCTCTTGGTCCTCATCCATTCCATATGCTATAATACTGATACAGCTCTTCTAAAAGTAATTCCTTTGAACAGTAAAGGTTTACAAGAGAGAGAGAGAGAGAGAGAGAGAGAGAGAGAGAGAGAGAGAGAGAGAGAGAGAGAGAGAGAGAGAGAAAAGGTTTTATTAGTAATAAAAATAGCAGGCATAATTTCTTGCAGAATGTTCTTAGCATTACTTTACAGTTCTTAATTTCACGAGAAATCCGAGTATTATAAATGGAGTTTCTGTACTCTTTACTAACACGTCTACAAACCAAGTATGTCAAAGTACTTGTGTACTACTAGATATACCGTTGGTTTAGGTTAGGTTTATACGAATAATTACAAGTGACTAGACCACCCACTCCAGATACAGTCCACGATGAGCAGGAAATAAAACTTTACAGTGTTATGTATATACCTCATTCACAATTTGAAAGTTTTAACCAATATTTGGAAAAAAAATACAATTTTTTTCTGCTATCTTTATTAATATGAAGTGGTACTCAGAGCTGCAGTCTTGCAATCTGAAAGAAAGTAGTATCAATTATTATAGTGTAAAGGTTAAGATCTTATCAATTACGCGATTGATTAAAAAGTTCTTTTGTAGAAGAGAAACAAGCAATTAATTAAAATCCACAACACTTTGAACGTAGTTCAAAACAATTTATATTCACCAAGATTACTACTATAATAGATTATAGCCCACTGAAGGTCTTTACAGTAAATATATAAGGTGTAACGCCTCCTAACCCCCCATTGACTGTCAAAGAAGAAATTACAATGTTAATATTTAAATTTTTATTCAATCTATAATTACAAATAAGACTGAAAATTAAGTTTAGGGTTCCGAAGGCAACAGTATCAATTTCAGTTTCTGCAAAAAAAAGCAAATACCCTAATTTACTTGGCTTTTGCCTTTATTAAATATTGCATTAAGACTTTGTTGCATTACCTTTCGGTAATATGCAAGTTGCACGACCTTCGTGCAACTCTTAAATTCCCGGATACATGTTTAATCTAGTTAAAAACGCTAAACCAAGTGTGGGCGGGTAAAAAGTCATTGAAATTGCAATATCAGAGTTATTTCCACGACAAATTGTAAATCACAATTCTAGATTCGTGCCTATTACGGGGGATAATTAAGGGATCACGTCGATGGGGTTTACTAGAGCAAATAAGATTGTTGTAGCGACAGTTGTAACCGAGTAGAACAATGAAAAGGCGATAGAAAATGACTTTACTGCCTAAAAATGACTTTACTGCCTTTTAATCCGAGAAAATTCTTTGTCAAAGTACGTAGCGTGGTGGAGCCCGGCTGGACCCCGCCCAGCGCGGTAGTGCATGACAAATTCCGACACCTTGGGAGCAATGTTTTAGTGCTATTGTAAATTTTTAACAGCTTTGTGTAAATAGTGTAGCAGCACATACCTCTTAAGAAAACTATAAAACATGACCCCTAAATGAATAAACCTTTACGGCCTCACTTATCCAGCAGCCAGGGGATTCTTGTTGTGTTGATTTAGGGGCGACGATAGGGGGTTCTTGTCAAACTTTTCTATAAGCCCAAAATGCCTCGTCGTACCAGATCCAACCCAGAGAGTTAAGGCTAAGTTATTAAGAACAGACACCCAACGGGAATGGGGAGGGGCTGTAAGTACCATTAAACAAAACCATCACATGTACTTCAATCTTATGTATAGCTATATACACCTATTACAAATATACAGCACATAACATTATCACTTCCATACAGGACACAGAAAAAATTCTACAATATTCTATCGCAGTCTCTTCCCCGAGCCATTCCTCTGAAGTACTCACGCCAGCGAGTTGCTGGTCACTCTTACCTCATACCGTCCAAGGTACCCCCAAATGCCCCAATATCACTTCTGAAGAAAACAATAGTGTATAGTAAACTTGGTAAATACTTGGGTAAATACTGGTTCGGTAACAGGGTTGTTGATTTGTGGTAACGTGGTGGAGGTGGGGTCCCTCGATTGTTTCAAGCGCGGGTTGGATATGTTTATGAGTGGGATTGGGTGGTTATAGATAGGAGTTGCCTCGTATGGGCCAATAGGCCTTCTGCAGTTACCTTTATTCTTATGTTACGTTCTTATGTAGTAATAACGAACCTACACAGGTGTCAGTAAGCACATCACTTGGGTAACACAATTAGAAAGAACTTTTTTAGTGTCAGTGGTTGACAAATGGAATGCATTAGGAAGTGATGTGATGGAGGCTGACTCCATACAGTTTCAAGTGTAGATATGATAGAGCCCAATAGGCTCAGGAATCTGTACACCTGTTGATTGACGGTTGAGAGGCGGGACCAAAGAGCCAGAGCTCAAGCCCCGCAAACACAACTAGGTGAACTAGGTGAGTACAATAGGGTCGGGTGCGGTCAACAGATGGCGTAAAAATCGTCACAACGAGAGAGAAATTGTTATTTTTTTATGCTTTATACTTCAATTAAAAATTCTAAATGTAAAATGTCTCTAGATTCTTTAATAAATATAGCAGGTTAATCTGTCAACATTTATTGGGCATTAAAAGTGGTGTTACCAGACGCCAAGGAGCTCAGAGAGATGTGAAGAGAAACAAGGAAATTGGAACTTGAGAAATGTTTTAGATTCCCTTAAAAAACGCCTTAAAGGTTTTTCCAAGCATACAAAACTAATGCTCGTGAAAAGAGAAGGTGGCATCAAGCAAATGTTGAACATCTCGCTGATAATTATCACGTATTTGTTCAATCGATGTTCCACTGGGATCAATAGGAAGCCCATGTTCACAATTCACATTAGCGATTCAATGGAAGAATTAATTCTGACCCAAGCTTGCCAATGAAAGGTAGAACACCAACAGAAATATTGAGAGGAAAAATCCAGACAGCTGGAGGATGATTTGAACAACATTATTGTGAGAGTGGGGACTCATTTGATGTCACCAGATGGCACGTGTAGTGAACCATAACAACAAACATTCGAAGAAGCTTAAGCAGCCGTAGTAAAATATATTTAATTCAAGGCACCCGTGCATAAATGTCCGTAATACTGTATAACCATGGATGAGGGCTACAAGTATGGACGAGGGTTAAGAGTATGGATAATGTGAGCTATAGTTACTAGTATGTGTGTAAGATTTACTAGTATGAGTGAGAACTACCAGTATAAGTGAGTTACTGGTAGGTGGTGGTGGCAGTGGTGATGGTGGTGGTAGCTGGTAGGTAGTGGTGGCAGTGGTAGGTGGTGGTGGTGGCAGTGGTGATGGTGGTAGCTGGTGAGGTGATGGTGGCAGTGGTAGGTGGTGGTGGTGGCTGGTGAGGTGATGGTGGTAGCTGGTGAGGTGATGGTGGTAGTGGTAGGTGGTGGTGGTGGCTGGTGAGGTGATGGTGGTAGTGGTAGGTGGTGGTGGTGGCTGGTGAGGTGATGGTGGTGACAGTGTCAGGTGTGGTAGTGGTAGGTGTGGTGGGAGCGTCACTACAGGCAGGAGAGCAGAGCGTTGCTGGCCACCGTCAGGACATGGCCTCTTCCCCAAGCCTCTTCCTGCTGCTTCTCGCGCTCCTCGCTGGTAAAGTTATTCTCCACACTTAACTTTGTCCTAACCTGTCAACTTCCCTGAATTAGTGTGATCTTCGTCAATTAAATCAGTACTAAACTATTTTTTCTCTAAGTAAACTTAACCGGGTTTTCCTAACTATTCTTCAAACTTATATTAGGTTATCCTTACTTAGTGCTCTTTCATTTCCCTCTCTTAGTAGTAACCTTTCTATATATAACCTAAATTAGAACTAATTTACCTAATTACCGTAATTTAGTGGTAGGTTCATTCATTACAGGTTGTTCATAAATTATTTACTTAGGATATTTATTTGCTTAATGAAATTTAGTGTTCAATTTCCTACCAATCGAAACTTAGTTGATTGTAATCCATCTTTCTTAGAAGGTAACGTGTCAACCTCCCTAATATAGTGCTCATTTGTCTACTTTCCTAATTTATTGCTTACTTGCCCTATAACCCTGGCTTAGTATTAACCAGTTTCCCTACCTTAACTTGACTAGGACGCCTCAAGAGCTTAGTTCTAACTTTTCTATCCCTTGGGTCTTCTTTTCTCACCTCGGTCCTTGCATATCCACCTACTCATAATTCTAACTTGTCCACTTTTTTAACGTATTCTTAACTTTCCCCGTATAAATTTAACACTACCTGCTTGATGGGGTTCTGGAAGTTCTTCTACTCCCCAAGCCCGGCCCGAGGCCAGGCTTGACTTGTCAGAGTCAAGCCTATGTCCATCTTCCTAATTTAGTCACCTGTTCTAATTTGGAGCCAAGTTTTTTTTTATCTTATACTCTAGCCTAACTTAGTGCTTGTTTGCCAACAATCTTATCATAGTGCTAAATTGTTCATCTCCATATTTTAGCACTAATCATTAATACTAACTTGTCAACTTTCCTTACGTCGTGATAACTTGCTTACCTCCCTAACTTGGTGATAAACTTTATCTTATCCCTAACATAATGCTAACTGGTTTCCTATCCAAACTTAGTGCTAAAATGTTTTACCCTAATTTGGTACTATATTGTACATTACATAAGCGAGGCGCTAACTTGTTCACGTATCACAAAGTGGTGCCTATATTGTTTCCTTCCTCTGTGTTATAACTTGCTGGTCTCCCAATTATAGTGCTAAACTGTTCATTACACTTTGTGTTAAATTATCCACTTCCAAAAATTAGCGCCAACTTTCCATTTCCCTAACTTGGTGCCAACTTGCTTACAAATTTGGCTATAATTTGTCGCTTTTCCTATTTGAATGCCAACTTGCTTACAAAAGTACATGCAAATCAAATAAATTGCAAAAAGTCCCATGTCCCATGGAAGTTGTATACCAACTCATTCATCTACTCTAGACTGTCCTTGGAACGTATATAAAATCACATCTTTTTACCTTAAAAAACAGAGTAATTAACGTACAAAACTGCTGGGATTACACAATTACGCTGGGATTATAGTGTTATTATAATAACTAAAGACTATATCAATCTTAATAATTTGATTAAAATAATCGAAAAGTATTTGTAAATAACTACAGTAGTTCACAAAACATGTTATATAAAGTTAAATCCAGTTTGTCTTTAAAACCGCCTCGACCCATCCTAAGAAAATATACATTCGTTACAAGCATATATAGTGTTAAACTATAGATCACTTTACGAAAAAGAGTACCCAAAAGGTATATTTCAACCCATCCTCCTGTTCAGGTAGTTACAAAAAGTACTATGTGGACCATCGTACATACATAGACGTAATAGACAAGTAGATAGCAGAATTTAATACTATTCACTTTAAGACCGAAAAAATATGCTAAAAACCAAGTTTAAATACTCCTAAGCCTAGTATGTACTCTTATTAGGCTTCAAATAACATGTATTGGGCCTAGGAAGGCAAGGTTAGGTTAAGTTTTCCTTGCAACATCAATACAACAAATTTCCGGTTTGTCCAAATTCAGTAGTACTGATTTCTACTTTTTAATTACCTTTTACGTCAATATATCTACGATGGTCCTCGTCATTACTATAAGTTTACCGGAACAGGAGGATGGGCTGGTATATTCACTGACTTCCGTAATAGATATAGCTGATCACCACAAATTTTTCAAACTCCAACACAATTTAATCAGAAATCACTCTTAATAACAATATACATTCATATGTAAGTAGCAAACACCAATATGTAACCTTTGATGACATCTCTTCAAATAACGTCGGTGTCTAAATCAAAACAGTAGCCTATACAAGGTCCTCACCCATTGCTCATTTACATAAATAATATAACATCTACCATTTCAGTCCAATACTGTATCCTGGTGACACTACCTTTAGATTTTCTATTACTATTCGAAACGCCATTAATCACACATTATAAACAACGAATTTTGACAATCCATTCACTCATCATATATATATATATATTCAGAAGGACATAGCTGCTTTGTAGAAAATACCATACTGGGCAACAAAAATCATTCCAGAAGTAAGTCAACTCTTGTACCAGGAATGGTTGAGGGCTTCAGGGCTAACAACACTGCAAACAGTGTTGTTAGCCCTGATGAACATGACAGGGTGGATCTCATCGAAACATTTAAAATACTAAAAATTTGGAGGATATTGATCCAAACAATTTCTTCGGTAAAATTTTAAAGCCCATCTGGAAAAAGTCTTTAGGGCGAATAGGGGGACCTTTGGCAAGCCGCCGGCTTCCTGTTCTCGTAGAACCCACTGCAGCGTCAGTGTCCCTCAGGTAAATTCAGGTAAATATTCTTCAAATGTGTCAGCAGTGACTTAAACGCCTCTCGCAGAAGGCAGTATGTTTTATTGATAAAACTTTCAGAATATTCTCAGCACGGTGAAAGTTATCGTGAACATAAATGTGATCATTCTCTTTGACAGTAGTGTTGAATTTTGCCTCGATAAATTGTAATACGAATATATAGATCCCAACTTTAGACTTTTATATAAAAATGGATGAAGTATTTGAACTCGCTATACTGTGTTCTCAAAATTACATGGGAATAGGTTACCTCTGATTACCATTGTTGTGCTCTAGGGAAGCCTTTCAAATTGGATGATTGAATGTTTAATGAAAAAATATGCTGGCAAACATAATGTTCAAACAAATATTAAATTTTGGGATATGTACACCAGAAATAAAGATATCAATGTTCGAAATAAGGCAATTGAACACTAGGAATCATAATAAAAAATGCTCGCAAATAAGACAGCTAATATTATTTGCCAGCTTTATGTTGACCTATTATACTATGTTTCATGTGTGACCTGTGACCTGTAACTGTAATCTCTCAGCCCTACACCACCGGTCGCCCCAACGACCCCTGGTGCCCAGTATATATATATATATAAGTGCTTGATGGAGAGCTGACGCACGCATGCCACCACCCTCCATATTTAATGTGAATATTTATTATGGATGACAATTGTGTACCCTCCGCACGCAATGGTGGCAACTTTGTACTTGTATTCACAGTTAAGAGCAGACATAAATCCATATCTATAATTAAGTAAAGGCTGTAAGTAGTAGATACGCGTCCCCGCCGTTTAGGTACGAGCACCATCATAAAAATGTTCTAGTTATGACCACTCAAACTTTGGCGTTTTAGCAGGTGTAAACACGAGATGAAGAATGAGCAGAGTTTCGCTTCTCTTAAAACTCTCCATTTATATATCGATATTATGATTTAGTACAGGAGTTCTTTCAGTCCTAGTGGCTAATCCCTGCTATCAATCTCCAACCAAAGATCACCCACCAACCGATGATCCCCTCCCCCCCCTGAAAGAGCAACCTATCCACAGGTTAGGCTCGTGGGTGACGCAGATAGAGCAACCTATCCTCGGGCTAGGCTCGTGGGTGACGCAGATAGAGCAACCTATCCTCGGGCTAGGCTCGTGGGTGACGCAGATAGAGCAACCTATCCTCGGGCTAGGCTCGTCCAAGCTGCAGGTGACCCCAATGACGCACTCATCAGTTTACAATTTAAACCTGTTGATCAAAAAATATGAACGTTTTCAAATATAAAGTATTATTATATAGTTAAGGCAAGGTTAGATGTTTAGGTTCTATCTGCAGTTATTTAATATTTGTATTACGTAGGTGAAGCATACATAGAGGTGCGATTTCTGCCATAGGAAGAGAGCGAAGCACTGTATGAGTAAAGATGTTCAATGGTAAATAGAACAAAATGGTATGTAATAAATGTGTTATACTCAAACAGTCAAAGGCACCTGCACAGAAAGTGTGCGCTTCTAGCTTGTAACATCCAAAACTTAAAGATCATATTTACATCAATTTACAATGGAACATTCTACATTTATATATATTTTATATAATTCTCAGGAAACCAATATACCATCACCGAGCAGCACTGTGGAGAAATGCCCGACAGACCACTGGAACATTATCTAACACAGTGCACGGTTACAAACCCATTAAGATTTCAACTTAGATTCAACAGAGCAGAAGTTGTTAAACACATGACAAAATCTTACTGAAGCGACCATACGAGTCATAAATACTCATACTCCGCCCAAGTAAAACAGAAACAAGCAACACTTAGTGGGCCAGCCAGAGGCTTAGGGCCCGCGCAGGAATATCTCTGCAAAAAAAAAAAAATCACCAAGCATGAGCCGTAAACCCCAAATGTTATACGTGATCCTGCCTCTCAAGAACTTCAATTTATTTAAATATGAAACAATAAAATATCTCATTAAATCCCCTGTCCACATGAAGTTTTAAGAGTATATATAATCCAGTTTACAAGAACAACTTTCTGCTTACAGAAATAAAATATATACATATTATTCTCAATATCAGTACATTGGTCACACACCTATTGTTGTCCTTAATGGCCAACACCAACAACCTGTCATTAGTAGGGAGGGTCTCATGAATATAGCGATACAAAAGTTCACGTCGTTTTGGGGCAATAAATTTAACATGAAGGTTTGTCCATGTTACTCGCGGGTTAGAGTGGGTATGCCTCCTCTACTCCAGGAACTGTATGTGGGAGGAGAACATAATACACTTGTTGAATGTTCATCATTAAACAAAAACTTCAACATTACAAATCTGCCTGAGAACATCAATAAAATTTGAACATCTTTACTCAACCATTGCTTCGCTATCTTCCTATGTCTGAATCACACCGCTATGTGTGCCTCACCCACGTATGTAGGGTCGCCAGCAGCTTGGACGAGCCTAGCATGAGGATAGGGTGCTCTACCTGCGTCACCCACGAGCCTAGCCTGAGGATAGGTTGCTCTACCTACGTCACCCACGTGTGTGTGTGTGTGTGTGCGCGCGCGCGCTCACCTAGTTGTGCTTGCGGGGGTTGAGCTCTGGTTCTTTGGTCCCGCCTCTCAACTGTCAAACAACTGGTGTACAGATTCCTGAGCCTACTGGGCTCTATCATATCTACATTTGAAAGTGTGTATGGAGTCAGCCTCCACCACATCACTGCCTAATGCATTCCATCTGTTAACTGCTCTGACACTGAAAAAGTTCTTTCTAACGTCTCTGTGGCTCATTTGGGCACTCAGTTTTCACCTGTGTCCCCTTGTTCGAGTACTACCCGTGTTAAACAATTTATCTTTATCTACCCTGTCGATTCCTCTTAGAATTTTGTAGGTAGTGATCATGTCCCCCCGAGCGTCGTCTTCCAGCGACGTGAGGTTCATTTCATGCAGCCTTTCCTCGTAACTCTTGCCTCTTAGTTCTGGGACTAGCCTAGTGGCATACCTTTGCGTGTGTATACACAGGCGACATACCTCTGTGTGCGTGTGTGTGTGTGTAGCTATTTACTGACACGTGAAGCCACTCACTAGAATTCATTAAAAATGTATTATAAAATTGCTATGTAAAAAAAAAAATTCGAGAGGTGTGTTTTGCTTTCGCCTCCGTGGCTACATTGATCGGTAAGTTAGCCTTTGTTGGTGAGTAACTGAGTCAATTCCCCCTCACGTACCTCCTTCACTGTTTTTATGACATCCACCAACCTGTTATAAATGTAACATACTAGATAAAAAATAAAAGCAGGGTAATATTGACGCTTTCTATTTATCGCCTTCGATTGGTTGGGTGGGTTGCCTGCGTTCGTAACGTTCTGGTTTACACGAAACAGTTACTTTTTTACGGAGTGAACTCAAACAGACAGACAGAGACTTAAACAGACAGACAGAGACTTAAGCAGACAGACTTATACAGAACATGCGTACAAACATATACAGACTTATACAGAACATGCGTACAAACATATACAGACTTATACAGAACAGAGAGAGAGAAATACTTGTACCTAAAAAAACAGTTAGACTTACACAGAACAGACAAAGATAGGCATGTACGGAACAGACAGTCAGACAGACATTTAAACTCCGCAAGCACAACTAGATGCATACAACTAGGTGAATACACACATACACACCATACACAGGGCCTTGCGGCTGAGTGGACAGCGCCCTGTGGCCGTAGTCCTTAGGGCCTGGGTTCGATTCTCGGCCGAGGCAAAAACAAATGGGCAGTTTCTTTCACCTGACGCCCTTGCTCACCTAGCAGTAAATAGGCACCTGAGAGTTAGATAACTGCTACGGGCTGCAACCTGGGATGTGTGTGTGTATGTGTGAACTATATAGTAGGAAATATAAAGGAAAAATAAGCTAGGAGTCGGTACATTAGACAACCGACGGCTAGAAAGGCGGGGTCCACGAGCTAACAGCTCAGTCTTGCAGGCACACATAGTCAATACAAATGGTAAGCACACACACACACACCTCACACACATATCCAAGGGAATTAATTTAAAAATTGAATAGAACATAACTGTCAGCCATATTTCATGGTGGTAAGCAAAAAGCAGAATGAACAGCGAGCAGAAGTTGTGTACACTAAGAGGAAGGGAATATTGACATCGGGTATCCTGATACACAAACAAACATGGACGCAGCGTCACGCAACAAGGCAGTGAGGTGCCAACACTGCTAATCTAGTATTTACACGGAAGAAAGCAGGCGTAGGCAAGGATAGTGTGAAGAACCACTAGGAACATGAGGCTGTTGTTCTTGTGCAGTAATATGTAAAGGAGCTGAGAGAGAGACGAACGCTGGGAACAATAATATAACATTAATTCCGTGAGCGGACGTACTCAGATCAGTGAGAGTTGAATGTGATGCTGACTTGGAATGACAGTTTAGTTAATTAAATAATGAAGTACATCACCTGGAGACGTGGAGAGGCTGTGGACAGGTACATTACCATACAAGGAGGGGAATGAGAGGAGGAAGACCAAGTCATAGTTCAACAAGAGGTATCGGGTAGCAAAGAACAGGTACAAAAAAGTCTAGAAGAATTGCAGGAAATATGACAGTGAAAAAAGAGGGAAGCAAACACGGGGGCTAGACAAGGATATACCAAAATTAGTCCTGAAACAAAATTGCTGTTCACAAACGGTATCGCCCAGAGGCCAATGATCGATCAGTTCTGTTAAACACTATAAAAACTTGGTCAACGACCAGGTTATCAGATAAAGAACAGATAGGAACTCATTGACAGAACTTCCTCGTTCCGTGAAAATAGCGGTTAATAAAATTCTCAAGGTCTTATAAAATATTAATGTTAGGATAACTGCCTCCATGCTGTTATGTGATGTTGGTAAACAATAGTATTGCGTGTATCGTACTGTACTGACACCCAGGTTAATTATCTACTGGTTCAGTTGGGCCAGGAGCGGCGGTGTGTCCCACAGATCCCCATCCGTCGAAGGAGGTGGTGCACGATCTGAGCGACGGCTTCAAGGCCCTCACCTGCAATGACACTGTTCAGTCCACTTGGAATGCCTCCCAGCGGATCCTTGTGTCCCAGTGTGTGGCAGGAGTGTGGCAGTACTCCTATAACACCTGCTCTAGAGGTGAGTCTATCACCTCCAGGTCACCCTCAGACCATAGTACCTCTAAAGATCATTAATACTCTGAATCAAATCTTTTAGCTTTAGTAGTCAAAAAACACATCTGCCTATACTAGAGAACTTTCATCCTAATATTTGAGATAAAGATGTTTCCTTTCGTATGTTGACCAGACCACACACTAGAAGGTGAAGGGACGACGACGTTTCGGTCCGTCCTGGACCATTCTCAAGTCGATTGTGGGGTATGACCCCCGCCACTGCCCCCCGAATGAGAAGGCAGGAGGCAAACCGGGAGTCCCCCTAATATTTGACAATCGACTTGAGAATGGTCCAGGACGGACCGAAACGTCGTCGTCCCTTCACCTTCTAGTGTGTGGTCTGGTCAACATACTTTAGCCACGTTATTGTGACTCATCGCTTGCATGTTTCCTTTCGTGTTTGTCTTCAGTTGTGTGTGTGTGTATATTATATGTATACTCTATATGTAGGACAATCCGCTACGGCGGTGTGCAACAAGACGGAGGTGCCGATCCCAGCCAATGCCACGGCCCGGCTGAGCTTCACGGACTTCGAGATGAACTTGTACGGTGTAGCCTACCAGTGTAACGCCCCGCTTGTCTGGCTCTCCGGCGCCCCCAACAGGATCACTCAGTGTGTCAACGGCTCTTGGACTCCAATATTTGATGTTTGTGACGTAGGTACGTATCTTAAGAGACAAATATAAAATGATAAACATCTCCAAAGGGTTCCTGATCAACAAGGCTGTGCAGCAGGCGTCACTCAGGAGCCCTGATCAAAGACCGAGCCACTTGGATGTTGATGTTCAGACCAATCTCTCATTGAATACCCAAAATAAACAATGGTTGTATAGGTTTGTGGCGATGTTGTGAGGTAAGTACAGAAATGTTCCTTACAATGAAGTTAAAACATGTGTATCCGTGAGGCCATCTCCAGCGTGTCGGATACGGGTAACTTCGTACATAACACCGTTTGCCAACTGAATTTAATGCCTAAGTAACCTAATTTAAAATAATCTAAACTAACCCAATTTTAAGAAGCCTAGTCTAACCATATCTATACCTGCGTATATCGTTACTAAGATAACGATATACGCAGTTTTGGCAAGCAGAAATCGAGCTATGTTCGAAACGCTTGTGTGACGACCCCGCAAGGCTTCGTACCCTAAGTGTAAATAACGTCTGAAGCAAATGGTTTTGTGGTGACAAGACAATGCTAAAGTCGAGTGGACAAAGCTGAAAGAGGAATGATCCAGACAATGTTTACTAGTCGTAAATCCTTAGATGGCTGACAGCATGTGAGCTGTGTGAGGTATGAAGGTATATATATTTTTTTTTTTGAGATATATACAAGAGTTGTTACATTCTTGTACAGCCACTATATGGGTCAATGGAGCCAACGACGGCGATTCATGGTGGCGTTGCGTGGTCAATAGTGGATCTACGGTGCTTGATAATGGTTGCTCGAAGGCTGCTTTTGATACCACGACGGTTAATGGTGGTGGTGGTGGTGGTAGCCTTGACGGTTTGTGTTGCCTTGACGGTTAATGGTGGTGGTAGCCTTGACGGTTTGTGTTGCCTTGACGGTTAATGGTGGTGGTAGCCTTGACGGTTTGTGTTGCCTTGACGGTTAATGGTGGTGGTAGCCTTGACGGTTTGTGTTGCCTTGACGGTTAATGGTGGTGGTAGCCTTGACGGTTTGTGTTGCCTTGACGGTTAATGGTGGTGGTAGCCTTGACGGTTTGTGTTGCCTTGACGGTTAATGGTGGTGGTAGCCTTGACGGTTTGTGTTGCCTTGACGGTTAATGGTGTATTCTTGACGGTTAATGGCGTAGCCTCGACGGTTAATGTTTTTTTTATTATTATTTTCTACCACAGATGTGGCCACACATTTACAATGCTAACCAGCATATATACATTTTCTTCTGACCTCCATGGACAGGGTTAGAGATGTGTTAAACATATAGTTCAGGGGTTTATTGAACAATCAACCACAGGAGGAATGTCAATAGTTCAACCTTGGAAGGGACCGCAATACAAACAAAAATATATATTTCCAGCCTTCCTGTCCCTGACAAAACTAATTATTTTTTTGGATATATGATAACGGTATTAATTAATTTTGATGTCACTTTATTTTTGTTATAGTACCCCACCTGCAATGTTTGGTGTAGATTATCAGTTAATAAGTAAAAAAAAATCCGAAAATGAGATAGTATTGATGTAATGAAACATTGTGGAATGACTTCTTTGGCTGCTGCATCTTCTAGTTAGATTTAATTATCCAGTAACGCTCTAACTTTTGTGTGTCATCTGCAGATGAGATACAACCAGTACTGAATGTCTAATATTATAGGGTTAGTAGCCATATTATTATCACCACGACAGAGCCAGTTAACAGTGTGAAATTGAAATTGAAATAAGTTTATTGAGGTAAAATACAGACAAAGGGATGAGGTAGCTCAAGCTATTCTCACCCCGTTCAGTACATCGTGTTAATACATACATATACACACATCACAAACAATAAACATATTACCAAACATTCTGAGAGATAAACATAAACATTTCCTAACAGTGTGTGTATTTCAGGGTGCGGGACGGCGCGTGATTGTGCAGACTTGGTTCTGATGGGGTTTAATGCCTCCGGACTCTACAGAATCATACCCAGCGGGGACCCAGCTGACCCGTGCATTACGGTGAGTCCTAGGACCCGTGATCCTGCTAGCTGTAACCCCTAGGTGAATCCTAGGACCTCTTGGTTTAGCGAGTGGTAGCCTCCAGGGCAGTCCTAGGATTTCCGATTCAGCTAGTAATAGCCTTTAAGTGAGTTCTAGGACTCGTGAGTCTCCAGGCGAGTCCTTAAGTGATCTCAGGTGTGTAGTGTCACTAACAACAGATAATACTACAGGTGTGGTGTCACTAACAACACATAATACTACAGGTGTGGTGTCACAAACAGATGCTACTACAGGTGTGGTGTCACTAACAACACATAATACTACAGGTGTGGTGTCAAAAAGATGCTACTACAGGTGTGGTGTCACTAACAACACATAATACTACAGGTGTGGTGTCACTAACAGATGCTACTACAGGTGTTGTGTCAAACAGATGCTACTACAGGTGTGGTGTCACTAACAACAGATGCTCTGGCAGGTATAGTGTGGCTAACAACGGATGCTACTGCAGGTGTGGAGGACTAATAACAAATGCCCTTGCAGGTGTGGAAGGACTAATAAGAGATGTTGTTGCAGGTGTGGTGTGACCTGAACAACACAAGTGTACAAGGAGGGAGTGGCTGGACAACCATCTTCAGACAGTATAACGGCAATACAAACTTCAGTAACTTACAGTTACAGGATTTCATGTTTCCTATTGGCGACCCTGACCCTAGCAGTAATGTCGTCTACTTCATAGGTAATGTGTAATTACATAAGCGTAATTACCTAAGTGTAGTTACAGGATGAGAGCCACGCTCGTAGTGTCCCGTCTTCCCAGCACTCTTTGTCCTGTGACAGGCTGAAACTACTGACTTTTTTGTTTAATTGCACCGCCTTCTCACTTACTCCAATCGTCTATCACTGTTTGCAAATGAAAACTTTCTAATATTTTTTCGGCACATTTGTTTCCTTAGGTTGAATCTGTTACCTGTTGCAGATTTCAGTAATTCCTCTCTTGTCAATTTCGTCGATTTCTATTTACTATGTGATTATGTCGCTTCTTTTCCCATCTGTCTTCTAGCTTTGGTATATTTGACACTAGCCTCTCTTTGTAGCTCTTGTTTTTCAGTTCTGGAAGCCATTTTCTAGAATGCCTTTACACCTTTTCCAGTTTATTGATGTGTTTCTTGAAATATGGGCACCATACAACTATTGTATATTCCAGTTTTGGTCTCACTAAGGTCACGAACAGTTTCTTTAATATTTCGCATCTATGTACTTAAAAGGGATTCTAAAGTTAGAAAGTATAGCATAGGCTTCTCGCACAATATTCTTTATTTGGTCCTCAGGGAACAGTTTTTCTGTCCCAGAACCATCCCTAAATTTCTTTATCAGAATTCGTTAAAGTGTTTCACATAATTTGTAGGTTGTGTGGGGCCTATTTTCTGCTATTCCACATTCCATAACGTGGCATTTATTCACAGTGAATTCCATTTGTCAAGTATTTCCCAATTGTGTGTGTGAAGTTAGGATATCATGTTATATCTCCTTAATAGATTTACTAATACAGTATATATTGTGTTGCCAAATATAAGTTCATATCAAGAGGTTGTCCCTCCTAGTTACACCCCGACGCCCTGCTCCTGTGTGGAGCGGGTCCTCCAGCAAGCTTCCTGCCTCCTGTCCTAACGTGATTTTTCCTTGTACCACAGGACTGGAGAAGTTAGCGGACCTAAACTGGGAGAGGAATGGGAGCACCCGGCCGCTGGTGTTGGAGGTAAGGTCCTCGAGGTGTCGCCTGCCGGTCTGCCTACCGCACCTGGCCACCCCGACAACGGCACTAACATATCTCTTTCATATGTGTCACAACACACTTTGAACTGAATACAGATGTGTAATAACAAAGTTAATATCCTGAGATAAAAATCAGATATTCTAAAATTAAATGCTTTTAGTTGCATTACAAAGTCATCTGACAGTTGACAGCTATCTCTCACACACACACACACACACACACACACACACACACACACACACACACACACACACACACACACACACACACACACACACACACACACACACACACACACACACACACACACACACACACACACACATTATACAAAGTGAAACATTGGGTAAATACTGGAGCAGTTAAGAGCAAGACATAAGACGAGGAGGAAGGCAGGGTGAGTCATAGTACACAATGACGAGGCGATGAGTCACAATAACGTGGCTGAATGAAGAATGTTGACCAAACCACACACTAGAAGGTGAAGGGACGACGACGTTTCGGTCCGTCCTGGACCATTCTCAAGTCGACTTGAGAATGGTCCAGGACGGACCGAAACGTCGTCGTCCCTTCACCTTCTAGTGTGTGTGTGGTCTGGTTAACACACAATGACGATATCTGACACAGTTCAAAATATGCTACATTATTCCATTTGGTCGAAGATCGTTGATAAAAAGTGAGTTCTAGTTCTTTTTCGCATTGGTAACAAGTAACTGGACACAGGTGAGATGGGACATTATAGTGACACAGATAATGAGTACACCTCGCCCACAGGTGACCCTGAACACAACTGGTGGCAGGCAGCTGTGGTCCGCCTTCGACAACTTCCAGATGAGTCAGGCACCAAACTATACCCTCCGGGAGGTCGGCGGCTTCTACGGCACCGCTGGTAAGATGATGCATTATGTGCACTTCATCCCTCATTGTGTAGACTCCCTTATCGTGTCCTCCCCTGCCTTCCTTCCCACTATCATTCTCATTTTATTTTAATTTCCCTCTCGCTCTTCAGTGAGTTCTTGGTTTTAAGGTGATTACGAATTAAGTTTGTTGCCATTACTTTACTTCATTCCCCGGAAACAGTGCTAGACTAATTGGATAGTAGTTATAGTGTAGACATGTCTTCCCTTTTTAAGGAAATTGCGTTTGAACCGTTACCTCATCTCTGACACCATCTCCTGGGCACTGCCTTGGCATGGCCACGGGGAAGGGGAGGACTTTCTTGTAGTTTTCGGGACCTCAAGGGTGCCTTCTCTCCCTCCGTCCACCTGCCGGAGACGTCTTTCGTTGGGGCGACCATGGCTGGACTGGGGCGCCAAGGGTATGCAACTGCTTACTGTAGAGGAGTGCATTTTGTTGTTGACCAGACCACACACTAGAAGGTGAAGGGACGACGACGTTTCGGTCCGTCCTGGGCCATTCTCAAGTCGATTGAGAATGGTCCAGGACGGACCGAAACGTCGTCGTACCTTCACCTTCTAGTGTGTGGTCTGGTCAACATACTTCAGCCACGTTATTGTGACTCATCGCCTGCATTTTGCTGTTGTTGGGAACAGTCTCCTCTCTTGAAAATGAGAAGCATCATTATACCCAGCCATTCTCATTACTGTATCTGTTCAGCCGGTGCTTGAAAACTTCCTGTGGCGTGCCAATGAATTTATGTCTATGATGCTACTTGGTAAATTTGTTTCGCGCATTTTCAACCTTATTTATACCTAGAAATTCACTGTTTCTTTCATATTTTTATATGAACTATTCAATTATGCACATCGTCATTGTTGTAGTGCGTATTAAAATCTGTATTTGTTTTCAGGATATGCCTTGATGATGAACGAAGGTTATAATTTCATCAGCCAAAATGGAACATACTGGTGGCTGCCGAGTGACTCAACACAGCTGCAACAAAACTTAGTAAGTTCCCTTATTCTCCAGTTTGTTTACTCTGGTCGTCCACACTCGCTACATGTGCTAAGTATGTGCTACATGTGATACATCTAAGGTGACAACACGCTACACTGCTAGAGTTGAATGTAGGGGGCTCAAGTCTCCGTCTTCACGAACGTCAACAATGTTATTTATAATAATTAATTGTTTAACTTCTACAGGCGTTCTTAACCGCGAGTTCACCGAGATGGAATAACTTGTCCGTGGAGAGCGTCACCATGAGGGTTCGCTCACTTGCCTACGACACTGGTGAGGTTCACACCACAACCCGTCCTCGACTCAAGTTCATTCCATCCAGCGGTCGACCCCACAGACGCATTCATAAATTCTTACATGCGTTCATTCAAAGCAGGAATTTTCTCAAATATAAATGAATATTATAATATCATATTATGCATATATAGGCATAGGTTAGGCTCACAATGTATAAGTCAAATACTGACTTATTAAAATCTACGTAAGTCAGTATCAGACTTATGGGCTGGAGGATAGGCTGTTAAATGGATCATATACACAAACCCACATTACAGCAATAACTGTACTCACATGGTTGTACCGCTCCCCAGCCGTAGCCTGCCCGATAATACCCTTGAACAACTGGTCGAACGTATATTCGATGGTGCCCGCCAACCGCAGTGTGGGCGCCGTCATGACGTACCGGTGTGTCGGGGACCTGATGGTGGAGGGTGTGGATGGCGGCAACACCACCACCTACGGTACGCTGCTCTGTAAGGCGCCAACACGACCATCACTCACCCCCGCCTGGAACTATATTCTCCATGAACCATGCCATCGTAAGTGAATCTCTGTCTGTCTGTCTCTCTCTCTCTCTCTCTCTCTCTCTCTCTCTCTCTCTCTCTCTCTCTCTCTCTCTCTCTCTCTCTCTCTCTCTCTCTCTCTCTCTCTCTCTCTCTCATACCCCAGCTCCTGGTCCTCATACCCCAGCTCCTGGTCCTCATACCCCAGCTCCTGGTCCTCATACCCCAGCTCCTGGTCCTCATACCCCAGCTCCTGGTCCTCATGTCCCTAACAAGCGCTATATAGTGATACTTGGTTAAATGTTTCCCCTGATAAATTCTTTAAAAGTTTCTTACTAAAAATTTCAGCTATCAGTATTGCCATTGTGTGTTTACTATCTTTTTGAATTAATTACATTTAGTATTATAAATTAATGTCACAATGATCAATATTAATGCTCTATAAATGAACATACTGTAATACCAGTTGTGCATGAACAAAAATGTTCAGGTATATGATAAGTATAAGCCAGATATACAAACACTGAAAGACAGGTATACAGGCCAGTAATACCCAGGTGTACAAGCAGCTATACTCAGGTACACTAGCCAGCAACACCCAGGTAAAGCAGTAACTACCAAGAGAAGGCGCCAGGTCTGGAGGGCCAGACAGCACCCTAGACATGACACAGCGTCCTCTTTTCTCCAACAGTGAAGTGCCCCACTGGCTTCCTGAAGGCACGTAGCGGGGACCGGTGCTTCATGTTCTCCCAGGAGCCCGCCAAGTACGGCCTGGCTGCAGCAGCTCTCAGGTAAGTCTTCCTAAATGTCCTCTGGGACTAGTTCTCTAAAAGACGCTCTCTCTCTCTCTCTCTCTCTCTCTCTCTCTCTCTCTCTCTCTCTCTCTCTCTCTCTCTCTCTCTCTCTCTCTCTCTCTCTCTCTCTCTCTCTCTCTCTCTCTCTCTCTCTCTCTCTCTCTCTCTCTCTCTCTCTCTCTCACGGGTTCGTTTGAGGTTACTGATCAACACTAGTACATTGGCCCTTCTTGTTGCAGAAACAAATTATATACATACAGATGGATAAGTTTTTAAATCATTATTGTTACTTAATACTTTTGAATTCGCTAGAAATAATGGAGAGATAGACACATGATAGTAGTGTGTCTATTGGCGACAGCAGTAACTAGCCAGTTTAGTCGTAGCATTGTAATTATTAGTAAGTGTAAAGCAGGCTCCTGTTTTAAACAATACAGTATGCGCCAGGGATGACTATGCTAGTAGGATAATTAGGCTAGTAAGCCTAGCTATGTCCTGGAAATCAGTGTTAGGTAAGCACTGTTAGTGAAGCCCTTGGCGTATGTGAGGTGTGATAACGTGGGTGTTTGTGGTGCAGATGCGCGCAGGTCGGGGCGTCCCTGGCCGTGCTGCGGGGGCCAGACGACCTCACCAACGCCACCTCCGGTCGCTTCTACTACACCGCCCACACCAGGTAACCTCATACTTGTTAACCTCACCGTTCACCTGCTGATTACTGTGTGTGTGTGTGTGTGTGTGTGTGTTCCCGTAGATTGCTGTGTAATAATATATTATTGTCCACAGCTTGTGGGACACGCAGATGGTGACGCCGTGGCTGCCCTCTACCGTCACCTGTAACACAACCTGTAACGTAAGTCCCCATCTACTGTACTGTAGTACCCAGATAATATGCTAAGAGTACCCAACATACTGTAACGTGGTTAAACATCTACTGTAACATGAGTACCCCCCTTATGTACCATGAGACAACATCTACTCTTAGGTGGGTACCTACAACTGTACCATGAGTCCTACCAGTTGTATAATGAGTCCCACTAGTTGTATAATGAGTCCCACCAGTTGTATAATGAGTCCTACCAGTTGTATAATGAGTCCCACTAGTTGTTATAATGAGTCCCACCAGTTGTATTATAATGAGTCCCACCAGTTGTATAATGAGTCCCACCAGTTGTATAATGAGTTCCACCAGTTGTATAATGAGTCCCACCAGTTGTATAATGAGTCCTACCAGTTGTATAATGAGTCCCACTAGTTGTATAATGAGTCCAACCAGTTGTATAATGAGTCCCACCAGTTGTATAATGAGTCCCACCAGTTGTATAATGAGTCCCACCAGTTGTATAATGAGTCCCACCAGTTGTATAATGAGTCCCACCAGTTGTATAATGAGTCCCACCAGTTGTATAATGAGTCCCACCAGTTGTATAATGAGTCCCACCAGTTGTATAATGAGTCCCACCAGTTGTATAATGAGTCCCACCAGTTGTATAATGAGTCCCACCAGTTGTATAATGAGTCCCACCACCATGAGATGTGAGGAAAGTAATAACAAGGAAGCTACTCATTACAGGCACACGGTGTATGAGGAAGATAAGAGTGAGTGTACTTGCAGGTGAGTGAGGGCTCGGAGTGCGTGGCGGCGGCGCAGGGCGTCATGTACAGGGCCCAGAGCTGCCGCCTTCCTGACACCTACTCCATGTGCATGGTGCCAGGTGAGGCAGCTTCAACGTTGTCTTCACCTTCAACACTGTCTTCACCTTCAACATTAACTTCACCCTCAACATTCTTCTTATCATTCTTATCATCCGCATCCCTGGTGACATTGTCAAATATATAAGAGATGCTGCATTTAAGCAATGAAGGCACTTCGTGATAGCGTATCTTAATGATTTACAACTCTACTGTCGTCAACATTAGAAACCATTCACTACACTGAGATTCACAGTTCTTACTGAAACTGGTCTCGGATCTCTCCCTGGAGACCTTTTTCTACACTGAGATTCACAGAGCCTACAGCAGGTGTCTTCCCGGCAGGCTGGTGCCCGGCCAACTACACGTCGAACTCTGGCATCTGTTACAAGATGATCTCCAACGTCAACAACCTGACGGAGGCTGAGGCGCTCTGCGAGTCTGAAGGGGCGTCCCTCGCCTTCCCTCAGAATAATTTTACTCTCGCCTTCCTCTCCCGGCTGGTCAAGGTGAGTGGCTCTCACTTTCCTCTCCCAGCTAGACAGGGTGAGTGGGTCTCACCTTCCTCTCCCAGCTGGTCAAGGTGAGTGGCTCTCACCTTCCTCTCCCAGCTGGAGAGGGTGAGTGGGTCTCACCTTACTCTCCCAGCTGGCTCTCTACATATGTTTGTCAAATAGTGCACGTTCAACATTAGATTCAGATACAATATATATTTTCAATTCCGCATCTTTCTTAGCTTGTACTTCCATGTACTTCGCACTGACAGCTTAGTTACATCTAATTTTCTGCTGCTGTTAGAATTTCTTTGTAATTAATAATATCATGCTCAGTAAGGTGCCCTGTGTAATCCCTTGTGAATGGCAGCAAAACGTGATAACAAGAATGAAAGATGTGAAAGAAAGCATGATACGAGAGAAAGAGCCAAGAGATACGACACGATAAAAGACATGAAAGATTGAGGAGTGAAATAAGAGAGGAGATGATGGCTTCACTAACATAATACAATCTCTTGCAGAACTCAGCCGACAACACGACCACCAAAGTCATGATAGGACTCAATAACGCGTGAGTACATAACTGTTCCGTGACTGCTAGTCATCGCTAGCAATAGAGCTAGAAAATATTCCCAGGGGGAGATACTTTTTATAAGAAAATGTTAAACAAACGTTATAGCGAGATGCGGGGAAGTATATTTTTTCTAATATGCCTAATAATAAAATTACATATATATATATATATATATATATGTCCCAGTAGCTTGGAGGGTTGCCAACACAGTCCCAATTCTAAAATAGGAATACAGTTCCCTCTAATTACAATACAATTAGCTGAAAGTTTATTGTGGAGACGACATTTGAAGCAATAACGTAAACTCAATTCGGATCTACCTTCCAAAGCATAATTTATATAAATAAATACAAACAATATTATAAAATATATATAAAAATGCAAATAATCCTCTCTCTCTCTCTCTCTCTCCTCTCTCTCTCTCTCTCTCTCTCTCTCCTCTCTCTCTCCGTTCTCCTCTCTCCTCATCTCTCTCTCGCCTCTCTCTCACATTATAGTATAATGTACAGTAGAATATACACGTGTACAGTACAGTTTAAACATGGTGTACATTACAACGTGCACATGTGTACAGTGCAATATATACATTTGTTCAATAAAATATACACATCTGCACCTTACAATATACACATGAACATACATATATGGACAAATTATGCAGAATGTTTCATGAGGCGAACATGACTGCTATAAAATATACAAAAACACTAATATTAAGTAAACAATTCGAGAGAGAGAGAGAGAGAGAGAGAGAGAGAGAGAGAGAGAGAGAGAGAGAGAGGAGAGAGAGAGAGAGAGAGAGAGAGAGAGAGAGAGAGAGAGAGAGGAGAGAGAGAGAGAGAGAGAGAAATTGAGAGAGAGGAGAGAGAGAGAGAGAATATATATTGTGCTGCCCACTGACCCAGTATATTACAATGTAGAAACGCAACTTCATCCCTATAATTCTATATTATCTTTTTAACGATGTTCGTTATCATATGAATTCAAATGCTGCTACAATGTACCTATGATTACTTTTATTTGTTAGCTTAAGGAGGTGATGTTACGGTATGCGCGCTAGTGGCTTTTCAAGGAGGTACAGGTAGTGATATTGTTATTATTATTATTATTAACATCTTTATTGACAAAATTAATTATAATTTTGCATAGTCTGAGGAGTTCGATTAAGTCTTATTAAAGTGAGGATAATGCTGGTATTCACTATCACGCAGGACAGAGGGTCATACACAAGACAATAGGTCTAAACTGTAGGCGGAAGCACTTATATATCATGGTTACAATCAATGTTTTAGTGAATGGATATGTGAAAACAACTTCCTATTGTGCACTGTCGCACAAGTGATAGAGTGTAAGTGCGCCAAGCTGAGCTCCACCCTTATCTTCGCTCTCTCCCACAGTTTGGGTACCTGGACGGGTGGAGGATTATACGCACCTGATGCTGCGTTGATCAAACTAGCGGGCAGCTCTCCGGTTGGGTCTTACTGGCGGATCCTCACCATACCCACCACCACCTCCTCCTACTCCAATATGAACATGGTATTCACCAGTAATACCACCACCTCCACCAGTAATACCACCACCTCCACCAGTAATACCACCACCTTCACCAGTAATACCACCACCTCCACCAGTAATACCACCACCTCCACCAGTTCTACCTCCACCTCCACCAGTATTAACGCCATCAACCCCGGCACCCTCTCCGCCACCACCCTAGCCGGTCAGGCTGGGGTCACCAGCGCCATCTGTCAACTCTACGGTCCACTAGGTAAATGCTCTTGTTAATTTCAGTTTATAGTTACCGGTGGTTCCATGGTCAGCGTAGTTTGTTGAACTGTGGTCAGTGAGTCTGGCTGAGGGCTCTGTCCTAGGATTTATGTTGCTTCTATATATGAGCGATTTAGACACGTCAGACTGCGTGCAGCGGCCTCTAATAGCCTGGTTGACCAGACCGTCAGTCAGGAGACTGTAGCCACAGGGTATATATAATATTAGAGTTAACATATACCAGCTGGACAATGTGGAACTGGCCAAATCTCAACGTAAAAGGGATCTGGGTGTCTTATTCAGTAGGGATCTTATGCCTAGAAATTAGTATGAAAGGTTCGAAATAAGGTAAATAGTAGACTGTGAATCATAACACTAAGTGTCAACAACAGAATATGTAATATTCATCAACTCTATTTCGCCCTTGTTACGCCCCATTTAGATTATGCAGTTCAGTTTTCACCACCATAATATTTAATGGACACATTCTTACAACAAATTACAGATAAAGGTAAAGCAACTGCCGGGAATTAGAAATCTCTCATATTGAAATAGTTTATTCACAAATGTGTGTACATTCGTCGTCGAGAGTAGTTTATATAAATCTACAGTAAATTATGAAGAGAGAACAAATCCACAAGGGCCATGACGAGGGTTCGAACCTACGTCCGAGAGGATCCCAGACGCAACACGCATTGATGCATCACGCTATTGTGATTTGTGTGTAATGAAGAGAGATTTAAAAAGATTAATTTATATTCATTAGAAAGGTAATATATAGTGAGTGATTATTCATATAATCACTTTAATAATTTCTTTTCCTACCACTCCTATTCCTTTTGTGTGTGTATATATATATACACGCTCTGTGTATGTATATATATTTATATATATACAGTTTTGTTAGGTATAAATAGCTGTTGCTTTGGACCAATAGGCCTTCTGCACTTTCCTTTATTCTTGAGGTGTATTATGTTGTGTATAGTACCTGTCCAATGTGTGGATTATCTGTCATTGTAGGGTGTGTGAGTAATGCCCCGGTCGCCGCTGGTAACATGACAAGAGAGTGGGACAACACCACCACCATGGCCACCGTCGCCACCTTCAGGTGAGTCACAGTGGGTAAGGTGACACATCTAGACGGGTAAAACAGTCACTGCAACACGTCAGACATATTATAAGTTTATTCTGACATAATAGAATTGTATTCAATAATTTTTTAAGTGTCTCCACACTGCTATATATTATTGTTAAAACAATCTAACTCTCAATTACAAAAACACTAAAGCATAAAACCATTGCCAACTAGACTAATATTATCGTCGCTTAGATGTGATCGTTTATCGAGGTGCTTGACGACAGGAAGCTCACTAACTGCCTCAAGCACTCAACCACTGTCATCAGAGACCAGGATTGCTTGCCGGTGTTTTGTTTTCCCCGTGTACCGAGGAATGGAAAAATCCGTGATGTATTCCATACACACGGAAATCATCACATCCACGTATTGTCTTCTCTCATAGAGATATTGTCACCAACACCAGAGTGTGGGCGGATATCTAGTAAAACTGGGATTGTAGTACCGGATGGTACCTTACCTACCTTGAGGCGGTTTCGGACCTTAGCGTCCACGCGGCCCGGTCGTCGACCAGGCCTCCTCGTTGCTGGACTGGCCAACTAGGCTGTTGGACGCGACTGCTCGCAGCCTGAGGTATACCTTCCGAACTCCATGTAAGTCAAGAACTTGGGGATGTGATACCTTTAACCCAGCATTCAAAGGTTCTCGACCACAAGGGGAAGACAATTGGGTTGGTAATTACACATCAAAACAGGTTTAAATACGCTTTAATCGAACCTGACGTCGGTGTCTCGGAGTCATGGCTTCGGCGTCATAGCCACTTGGCTTCTCACAGGTGTTCCTCACAGGTGTTAACCCCGTTGGTGGCAGGTGTTACTCTCCGCCACTCGTCACAGGTGCTGCGTCTCCCACAGATGTTGACCAGAGGTGCGTCTCCCACAGGTGTTACCCCGGGTACTTCGTGGGAGGGAACGTGAGCGTGGTGGAGCAGACGGTGATGTGCGTGGGCGTCCTGGGAGGCTGGTACCCCTCCACGCTCCTCCCATGTCTGGCCGTTGACGGTCAGTCCTCCCACTCTTCTCCATACTTCAAACATACATACATAGTTAATACATATATGCTTACATACATACATACATTCCTTATGCACTTACCTACAAAACAAATAATACGCACGAACACGCATACAAACACACTCGCCCATAAAAGTACAAAAAACGCAACCCGTTCTCGCACTTGTTTATAGTCAATATCTTGCTTATGAATAAGTGCATACATGACATACTAATTTATTGTGAATATTTGAGTTTACCTTGAAAAGCTGAATAAAAAAAACCCACGCACATACGTTGCCTTAAACATGAACGAGTGTTGGTCAATAGATTTAAAATTAAGGGTGTTTAATAATGTTTAATTGGAGGGTGTGGTTTAAGCTCATGCTGAATGTTGAACTAAACATTAAGTGCAGGGGGGAAGGGGGGGGGGGGAAGGAAGTGCTAAGTATCTCCAATAGTGAGGTAACGCAACTTTCCCCTTGTCCAACAGTGTGTACAGGACAGGTCCCGTCCGCCCCGTCTCCCTCAATCACCAACACTAGCTCCACCTACCTCCGTCGCCTGAACGGCACTGTCAACTTCACCTGCCCGTCTGGGATGACCACCGTCAACGGGACTACTTTACAGACGGTTACTTGTCTAGAGTACGAGTCGTCTTACACCTTCGACCCGTCCGAGGTCCTCGCTTGTAATGGTAAGGAAGCTAGAGGAAGGTTGAACACATCCAACAAGGGCCGTGACGAGGATTCGAACCTACGTCCGAATGATGCATCATTGATGCATCACGCTAATGTGATTTCTGTGTGTTAGAGGAAGCTTCTTCGCGAAGGAGTCTGTCAGTAGACAGCAAGTCCTCAGGAGTTGTGATAGGTGTATTTGCTAATACGTGTTTGTGCTTGCTTGTGTTTGACAGTGTGTTTGGGCGCCCCCGCGGTCAACAACAGCGCGACGGACTGGGTGAACAGCACCACGTGGATGGTGGGCGCGCTGGTGACCGCCACCTGCACCCCCACCTACGTCCTCAACTTCACCAGCACCACCCAGACCATCCCCTGCACCAGCCTCGGCTGGCAACCTCCACAACCATGTTACAAAGGTATGGCACACACACACACACACACACACACACACACACACACACACACACACACACACACACACACACACACACACACACACACACACACACACACACACTCACTCACACACACACACACACACACACTCACACACACACACACACACACACACACACACACACACACACACACACACACACACACACACACACACACACACACACACACACACACACACACACACACACACTCACACTCACACTTGGTGAGCGGGTGGTGGAGCAAGACCTGGTGACTACTGGTGACCACCCACAGGATGCGTTGGTGACCCCCCGACCCCTGGTGCCAACATGGTCCGTGATAACCTCACCTCTAACGTCCAGGGGGTCAAGATTAACTACAACTGTTCGTCTGGCTTCTTCATCCCCACCAGCCAGGTGAGAACCTCACCCCCCCCCACCCTGCCCTCCCTCACACACCCCACCATGCCCACCCTAAAACCCCACCCTGCCCTCCCTCATATTCCACCCCTACACCCCCTGATCATAACTATCCAGCTTGAGCATAATTCCTGGGCCCATTATATACACAAGCAGGCACCCCATCAATTCCACCCTCTGTGATAGTTTCCACCATTCAACGTCTTATTTCATGTAAATTTCCTCATTCTCTGTAACAACTGGGGCATGTATCCTCCGAGTCCTTGCATTACTGTGCATGTAGATGACAGTTGTAATAACAAGGCGGTGTGCAACATTTATTATGGCATGCGAGGTGGTGGCCGAGCAGTTGAGATATGCAACCCACTACAGTTTGCTGGACTCGTCCTCAGAACAACAGCACACCGTTGTCGAGAACGACCGTCGTGTGTGGCGCCAACTCCACCTGGGACCCTGCCGGCCCGCCCTTACTCTGCACGCAGTGTAAGTCATACTCCAGTACGGCTGCTGCCTCTCACTCTCCAACTCTAAGCTTCCATCACACCCCGTCTCCACTCTTCTCCCTCTTCCTACTTCATGTTGTCAACAGCAGTCCTGGCTATGTTGAGAGTCCTGTATGTCGTAGTAACTCAGTCTGGTCAGGTTCAGACAAATGTTTTACATTCGGGTAATGTAAACTGCCAACACGGCACCAGTCCAAACTCACCGTGTATAACATAGCAACATGGACAATTCACCATGAAGAGTTGACTGAGACAACTGGTGCATGACTGACATTGCTCAGCGTCGGCCTACACACCAGTAGGCCTATACTCATCGTCGGCCTACACACCAGTAGGCCTACACTCAGCGTCGGCCTACACACCAGTAGGCCTATACTCATCGTCGTATAGTATTAGAGATGAAGGTAAACACACACGGACAATAAAGTGTTTCATTTTCTTCTGCAGTGTGTCTGGCCAACCCTCAGACGGTGACGACGCCCATCACCTCCTCGTGGGACGGCGTCGCCAGGAGTGTCGGAACACAGGTAGGTACTCCCGTCTCCCCCTCCCACCCCCCCCCTCACCTGGTCACCAGGTGAGGGGGTACTCACCCGCTTCACCTGGTCACCAAGTGAGGGGGTACTCACCCGCATCACCTGGCCACCAGTTGTGGTACTTACCACCCCTTACCCCGGTCATCAGGGAAGACTATGGATATTGCTTTATGCTAGTGGGGGTAGCAAGGTAGAGGCACGAGAATGGTAGGCTAAGGGTGGGAGGTGGGATGACTGAGATACAAGAAAAGTGTGGGGAGGGAGAGGGGGTCAAGCCACAGTGAGGCTACCGTGTATGTTACCTCTTCTGTAAGTGCCACTTTCGTGTTAACGTAAGTCAGTGTCGGCTCCATTCTACTTCCAGGTGAACATATCGTGTCCATCCGGCCAGCTGTTTCCTGACCTCAACGCCTCCACCATCATCACGTGTGAAGACACCGGCAACTGGTCCACTCTGCCCTCGGAGTACCTCGTCTGCAGGACAGGTGGGTGTGTCTCTCAGGCGCTGGTGGTGTCATGCACGGGGTGGGTGTGTCTCTCAGGCGCTGGTGGTGTCATGCACGGGGTGGGTGTGTCTCTCAGGCGCTGGTGGTGTCATGCACGGGGTGGGTGTGTCTCTCAGGCGCTGGTGGTGTCATGCACGGGGTGGGTGTGTCACGCAGGCGCTGGTGGTGTCATGCACGGGGTGGGTGTGTCACGCAGGCACAGGTGGTGTCATGCACGGGGTGGGTGTGTCACGCAGGCACAGGTGGTGTCATGCACGGGGTGGGTGTGTCGTACTGGGAGGTGGCATGCATTAACAGGTAAATGGGTAAACTGGCATGTACTTAGGTGTGTGGGCCAGGCAGGTAGGTGGGTGTGAGGCGTAGGTGGATGACTGTGGGTGTAATTAATGGGTGGGTGTGGGTGGTTGAGTGAGGCAGGCAGGTGGGTTGAGTTACTGGAACATGTGGTGGATGAGCGAGCGTGTGAGTCACCCTTAGAACACAAATGCGAATCCGCATTCGGAACATGTTGTTGTTTTAGATTTAGCTACTCAGAACGAAATGTCCATGTAGCACAGGCTATGGTGAGCCCGTAATTGAGTTCGGTTATTTGTGATAACCTTGTTACTGTGATATTTAGGTCAAAGGTTTAAATGGAGGTAGAGTTTCCTCCTTTTCTCCCGTTTATTTTCCGCTTCTGTTTTAGCGTACTGGTTTACGGGGCATGTGGCAACACAAGGAACTCTGCAGTCATACTATAGAATTGATCCTATGAAGTATGATCATATGACGTATGACGGGGCATGTAGTTGACTGAGTATTTGGACAGACGAGTTAGGTGTGGTACAGGTAATTCTTTAAGGTCTGGAATATATATGTAGGTAAGTCAGATGTATATTAGATGTGAGACAGGTGTGTGTGTGTGTGTATGAGTGAGCGCGCACGCGTCTATATGTATATGGTACCAACATTCCTCACGCCTTATCTTCCTGCAGCTGCGCCTTCTGCCCCCCCACCAACCCCGGCCGGAGCTGTATTAGGGGGCGGAGGTCCACCCTACTGGGTGGGGATGACTCTCAACTACACCTGTCCCCCGCCACAAATGTCCCTCTCAGGTGCTACCTACACCACCATCACCTGCCTCGCCACCGGCTGGACCACCCTCGACCCTACCTTCGCCTGCCTCAGTGGTCGGTATCCACCTATTTGCATTCACCTATTTGTGCCTGCAGGTTCGACTGTTAGTTCTTGGACCTCCCTTTCTAACCGTCGAATGTTTAATGTACTTATCTAAATCTTTACAATGATGGCTGAACTAAACAGGTTTACAGCAGTCCAAATGCAGCTTTACATTCTTGCCATAAAGTAACATTCAGCTTACAATTTGAAATGTGATATATATATTGGACAAATAAAGTATAGTTTACCATTAGAGCAGTAAGACACCTATTGGGATAATTTATATCATAAAATTAAGATGATAAGACAGTTTAAGGAACAAATATAAACTAATCAATCCATGAGTTTATATCAGATTGCTCACTCCTCGGCAGTGTCCATCAACAGATTCTAGGACTATCCCGGATCACAATCTCATACAACTAATACAATACACAGCTCATACAACCTTTTTTATATTTAGTATCTTTGTATTCCACTCAGTTGTATGTTATCGCTGCTGCATAATCCAATACAGGTCTCATGTACGTTCTAAATAACGAACATCTTTCCATCCATATACTTAAATACTTCTAAAATGTGTTACAAGTGTGCAGCGCTCTCCCTTTAGCGTTTGCATGGTTCTTTAGTTACAAATATCACTGAGTGTTAAGTACCATTTAAGAGTGATGAATATAATTTATGAGTATCATTAGGTTCCTTACTGGTCAGAGTACCTAGAATTGTGTGGCAGCGTCTGTAGTTCTCAGGGCACCATTCCCGCTCTCCACCATTTATATTATGGTTTATTGGTCTCTATATTATGTTACAAAGAGTGAGTGTGGAAGGAGGCAAAATGAGGTTACTCCTGTGCTTGTAAGCTCTGCAACAATCATCTTTACTCCAGCGCTCATAGTATATCGAACACTCACTCTCCCTCCGTGCCTTCTTGCAGTGTGTCTGGCCTCGCCTCCAGCGCCACCAGACGGTGTGATCGCCAACTTCACCAACCAGGTAGCAGAGTGGGGCCAGGTGGTGAGCTACACCTGCATCGTTGGTGATCCTAACACCACCAACACCACCACCACCACCATCTCCACCTGCAACAATGCCACCTGGACCCCAGACACCATCCCCGACTGTATTGGTGAGACTCTGACAAGAATTTACCCATTGATAGACACAAAGAACAAGATGCACTAATACCCCAGCTCACACACACTCACATACCAGACTGTTCTCTTCATTTGCCACAACACACACGTGAGGGATTAAGGATACCACAATAGGCTACTGGAGCACCCAGCAGGTATACTGTAGACCTGGACATAGTTCACGACTAAATTACACATACACCAATAATCGTTATTATATCTGTGAGAAGACATTACCTTTACTACTACTAATAATAATGATACAAATAATAATGATAACAATAATGATGATAATAATCCTAAAAAGAATAGTAATCACACTAACGTGATATATATAATATATAGTTATATATCACATGTTTTTCTCAACAACAATAATAATAATACAGAGAGAAATCACAGTGACGTGACGTATATATGAGAAAATCGGTAGGAGCCGTGATGAGGATAGGCTTCCAAATAGCCTGGGAATACACACCTCATAGGTTCGGATCCTCACCATGGCTTCTACGGATTGTCTCAATAATAATACTAAAATAAAACACGATGATGATATTTACGACAAAGTCTTCAGGCATGTAGACACCCTAATTATTCTCTTAAGAATTCATTAATACAACAAATAGCAAATAAATCAACACGTAACAAAAACACACATACGTAATAACTACAACGGAAGCCAAATACCCTCTAATAATTCTGCAGGTGTTCTTTCCACAGGTGTTATTAACTCTTAATTTTCAGGAAACAGATGCTAGATTCCCGCAGCTAGACGGTGTGTAGAATTCTGGGCTTTTAGCTGACGATGTCTCTCACCCTAGCACGTGTAAATAGGTACTGATAGCACCAAATGTACATAGGGAAGATCAAATGGGTAACAATAGGAACAAATTCGTACTGAGAGGACTAAATGAGAACCGATAGGGCCAAATGGGTAGTGAGAAGACAGATTGAATACCGAGACTACCAAATAGGTACCAAAAGTATAATGGGTATCGAGAGGACCAAAATGGGACATAAACTCGCCAAAGAATCTTTGAGTCTGGATGAAATCCATACGGCACTCTGTCACTGGGCTAGGCTTGTTCAGGCGGCGGCAGACTTCAAAGATGCATTTATCAATTTTTAAACGTACTGCATATTCAAAATCGGGTTTTTATCGTTACAAATTACATTAAGACGTTACACTAAATGGTAACCCGTCCTCATCAGCAAAGATCAAATGCTCGTTAATCCTGTCGCACAGTAAAGGAAAAACGGTTTACACACGACTCACAACTGATGATGATCGAACATTTCTCGAACAGTGCTTCGCTTACATTCGAATCGTAACTGTAAATGTTTTACAACGTACTACGAATACAAATAATTGCCAACAGACCCTAAACACCTAACCTAACACTAACTATACATAATAATATTAATTTATACATGAGAAAAATATATTTTTAATACACAATACCTTAAATTTAATGAATTTAAATTCATTTAAATGGATGGGTCGGCCGCTGCTTGCAAGGAGCTTAGCCTAAGGACGGTTTGCGAAATGGGCTTGAGTTTGGCGAGGGCACCAAATGGAACCCAAATGAATCAACTAAATTCTGAATGCACGAAACGAAACCATAAAACAACTCGCTAAGGCTCTAGTAAACCTGGCCCAGTTGGTATAGTCAGTGTGTAAATTGTTTACACAGTTATAGGACAAGGAGACTTCTGGCTCTTGTTCCTAAGCTTAGAGCTATCCCTTCCCATAGCTCATATTAAGCCTTATCCTACTAGTTTTCCCCTCGAATTCGATCCGCCAATCGGTCTACAACCAGGTCCCCAATTACGAACATTTAAGTGTCGGTTCAATCGAACCTTCCTGCTAAAGTCTCGAACACGGCCAAAATTCTTCGAGATGAAAGTAAGACCATTACCACATGGTTCATTCAGCGTCCATTTGATCCATCTAGTATATCTTTGGTCCAGGTAGTGTTCTTTTGGTCCATCTAGTGTCTCATTGGTCCATCTAGTGTCCCATTGGTCCATCTAGTGTCCCATTAGTTCATCTAGTGTTAAATAGGTCAATCTAGTGTCCCTTTGGTCCATCTAGTGTTAATTAGGTCCATCTAGTGTCTATTTGGTCCATTTAGTGTTCCTTTGGTCCATCTAGTGACCCTTTGGTCCATCAACTATTCCTTTGATGCATCTAGTGTCTTTTGTCCATCTAGTCTTCCTCTGGTTAAATCAATGACCCTTTGGTCAAAAGTTCAATAGTCAAATAAGTTTTCTTTTGATCCAGTATTTATTTGGTCTAATTATAGTCACTTGGTTCAGTGTCTTTTTGGCCAATTCAGTGTTCCCTTAGGGGTCAATTTAGAGTCCCTTTGACTCATTATGACATTGTTTTTATAACTGAATTGTTTACCTGTTAAGAACTACGAGCTGGGGTCTCAATTGCTTCGTTTGTTTTAATACTTGTTATTCTTATAATTATTGGCTATACTGCATGTGTGTGTGTGTGTGTGTGTGTGTGTGTGTGTGTAATGGAATGAACATATGCTGTAATACGCATCACATGGCGCCTGATGTTTTTGTTCAGTGTCAGGGGCTCTCTTCTGATCTCTCTTCTGATTGGCTGATCAAAAGATGACCCTGATGTTTGATGTGTTAGTTTAGATTGTAAATATAATGTAATATTTTTGTATGTTTATGTATGTGTACTTGTGAATGTAATATAAAATATACGCGTGTGTGTGTGTGTGTGTCTTTATTAAAATCTAGAATACCAGTAGGTTTCGAACTTGGGTCTGGGAGTGTCCCAGTCCAACATGCTGACCACCGTTGCTTCCTATATTGCAAAGGTGTCTGTCGTACACAAGAGTGACTGGGATAGGGTGACCCCATGCCACCGTGCCAGAGTGCTGGAGGTAAATCAGAGTGAAAAGTATAGTTTTACTCAGTTGATGATAACGTTTCGTGGCCGGTGTAGAGCCTGTGAATCCGCGGGTGTTCGAGCTCCCGGCGGTGCACCGGGGTAGCAGGCAGGGGCCAGATTCACGAAAGCACTTACGCAAGCTCTTACGAACGTGTACATCTTTCCTCAATCTTTGACGGCTTTGGTTACATTTATTAAACCATTTACAAGCATGAAAACTTCCCATTCAATTGTTGTTATTGTTATAAACAGCCTCCTGGTGCCTCGGAGCTCATTAACTATTTAATAATTGGAAACAAAGCCGCCAAAGATTGAGAAAAGATGTACAGGTTCGTAAGTGTTTGCGTAAGTGGTTTCGTGAATCTGGCCCCAGGACTTGGACACCCTCACACCCCAGTTCGAACATTGTTAGTTCTTTAGATTTTAATTACAATTGTAAATTAATATTAATTTCAAATTATTTTGTAAACTCGTTTTGCATCATAAATGTATCTGATTATTATTGTTTGTTTTCTCCTAAAATATTATTAAAAACAAAATATTTCGATATTGTGTTTACATTGACAATAAAACACCTGTTTTATGTTTGTTTAAAAAATATTGATAAATTAAATAAATACAGTTGAATATAATTATAATTATGATTATCCTCTTTCCGTTACTGAAATACACTGATTATTTGTGGAAACAAAACAATGATGAGTTAGCTCAGAAGAATTTAATAAATTCTAAACCAAATCGCAATAAATTCAAATACCACAGATGGACATGATCAAGGCGTACAAGATACTGTGGGGTTCCTCTTACCACTCTCCATTACCGGTCCTTGGGTCCCTTCAACTTATACCAACCCTCGAACCCCGATCTGAATTATTAGAGAGAAATAGTAATACAGAAAAAAGGCGGCGCTGACCTTTGACCGTCCGTGTTGAGAGCTGTTGTTTTTAGATAAGTTTGGGAGTGGCAACCACACCTTTATTCTCCGTGATTTGATGTGATTTATTCTCTGCAAATAACTACAAGGTAGATGACACACATCTGGGCCAGGCTCGGGGGAGTAGAAGCACTCCCGAAACCTTCTCCAGGTATGTTCCAGGTATCCCGAGGAGCACGGCCGTGCCATTTCTTCCACCATGACACACTCGGCCCTCTCTCCCTCCCCTACACCGAAACCTTCGCGAAATCTTTTTATGCATTTCTGCGCCAAACGGTGACCGCAAAACTGTAGAAAATTGGATATCCTGAAAGAGGACATTTCTGTCCTTTCCTCTGAGGGAGTGAAACTGCGGTCGGATCGTCGTGGCGTATTTAGTCCCTGACCATCTGTCATTTTTTCTGTACTTCAAAATTAAGCAAAATATATTGTCGACAAATTTAATACCTGTATAATGGTGTACTCAGGATTTGTTGTCATCATGGAGGATCATCGTTTTCAAGGCTGTGGCGCTCGCAGACTCAAATTCTCCCCACCAACACTAAAACTATCACCAACCCGCCATAAACCTAAACCTTCGTTAAAACATTTTACGGATTCCTGTCACAGTTGCCACAGAGGGAGCGGCGTTTTGTGTAGACTGTGTGGCAGGAGTCCCCGCACTGTTGCCACAAGTCCCGCGGCGGAAAACATATATACTGTACACCCTGTATATTATTATTAAGAATTTTTTCATGTTGCTAAAAAGTGTAAAAAGCTTCGTAAATTGAATAAGTCGATGACACGGAATCAACGGAAGGCGCCGTGGAGCTAAATTTGCAGGAACCTGGAGTCAGGAACGAAGAAGAACACGTCTAACAATATTTGTTAAAATTAGTAACCATACTAATTTTACTTTAGTATGGTTACTAATACCATACTACCAGATCAACCATCCTAGCATGAGCACACATGTTGTGTGTGTGGCTACCAATTAATAAGCGACAGTGAGAAAGTCATAAATGTAAGTGTACACACCAGCAACATTGTGTGATAAGCACATATACTCTACACATATCAAAGAGGGAAGAGAGCTCCTATTCCTCCTATTATAAGAGAGCTCCGGAATTCGTAATCTTAGGGTCTGGAGATCAATCCCCAGCGATCGCGGAAACAAATGGGCAGAGTTTCTTTCACCCTGATGTCCCTGTTAACCTATCAGTAAATAGGTACCTGGGAGTTAGACAGCTGTTACAGGCTGCTTCCTGGGTGTGTGTGTGGGGGGGAGGGGAGGGAAGTTGATTGACAGTTGAGAGGCGGGGCGAAAGAGCCAGAGATCAACCCATGCAAGCACAAATAGGTGAATACATACACACACACACACACACACCAATTGAGAAGCGGGACCAAAGAGCCAAAGCTCAACCCCCGCAAGCACAAATAGGTGAGTACGCATACACACACACACACACACCCACCCACACACACACACACCCACACACACACTAGATTTAGACTAAACTGAATAAAGCTTATCGGTCAATGTTCAGTGCAATTTTCTGCAAAAAGTTTTTGTAAAGGCTTAGTAGGAGAGACCGGCGGCCTGGGCCTGTGGTTCAAGGGAGAGCTATCTTGGCCGGCAGTTCTGTGAGCTACCTGGTCCATTGTTCATCTAACTGTCTGGTCGATTGTTCATCCAACTACCTCTGCTCAATTGTTCATCTAACTAGCTGGTCGATTGTTCGTCTAACTAGCTGGTCGATTGTTTATCTAACTACCTGGTCGATTGTTCATCTAACTACCTCTGCTCAATTGTACATTTTGTCGCACGTGTGATCTTAACGTTTCAGTGGAGGGATACACTCGCGGAGAGGTAGTAAAAAAAGTGGCGACGTTCCTATCAGAATCAAGTTCCAGATCTCCAAAATAACAGTATTACAAGAATTTACACGGTAATGGTGGCTGGTCCGTCATCAGCGAGTCACTTCCATTGACTCTTACATGTATGGGAACCAATAGTGTGCGTCGAGTCTTCATTAATGCTGGGCAACGAAACTTCTTTTTATGCAAGTCTGGCAATAGAAAGCAAAATGAAGCATGATAAGACATTACTTGTCTGCCCCTCACGTCTGGCCAGGACACAGTGCACCATAGTCGGCCGCCCCACAAGGATCTTCCCGACCAATTCCCTCAAAGAAATTAGTTTTATTTCGACTTCAACTAACCACTAAAAGCACATTTGTGCCTATGAAGAACTTCAGTCATTGGGCATAACCGTGTTAAACAATAACAAGATAGTATAAATAATCAAACAACAAAACGCCTCATTATATGAAACTAAAGTCACAAATCACGTCTTTACCATTATAATGTCCAAATTTAACTTGTCCCTCGCTGCCGAGAATCAACGAATACCGGTTGTGGGAACTGGTTACCGGAATGAGAGTTATGTTAGTGAAGAAGTGGAGCAGCGGAGCCTGGCGAAGGAGTATGAAGGAGAGAACAGCGTGACCAACACTCCTGCCCAAGCTTGCTACCACAGCACGCCTCTTCCTCCATGTCCCACCAACTCTCACGACAATGAAAACGGAGACTACACGACTCTGAAAACAAACGACGAAAATCATACACAAATCGATATCAGTGTAGAAACGAGAGAGCTTGGTCTGCCAGCAGAAGTACAGACTACCACCGACCTAAACATAACTAGCCAAGGAAGGGACTCGACGCAGGATGACGTGAAGGAAGTGCCTGACGGAGGCTGGGGATATATAGTCGCCCTGGCATGCTTCATCAGTTTTGTATGTGAACGGGTTTTGTTTGGTTTCCTTGCTTATGTTTGGGTTTCCTTGCTTATGTTTGGGTTTCCTTGCTTATGTTTGGTTATAAACCTGAGGTCTAGTACTGTACTCGGGTAAGTTATTGTGCTTCCAGTGACTGTATATTATTTGTTTGGGTTAGTGTTGTGTATGTGTTGCATTTGTTGTGTGTTGTGATCCTTTTTTTTATACCACATACGTGCGGCTTGGCGCCTTCTTTTGATAATTACTACCACAGACGCGGCCGTTCATCTACAATGGTAAAAAACACATGTATATTTTCTTCTGTCCTCTATGGACAGGGTTAGAGATTTGTTAGACAACATAATGAAGCGAGTTATAAAGCACTCAACCACAGAATGTGGTTGAGTGCTCTTACAATGTGTGTGATGTGTTGCGAGTGTTGTGAGTTGTGTTGTATATGTGTTGCTCAAGTTGTTAACGTGACCCCGGGAGCACCATGATGAGTTAACGGTAATGCTTGCACCCATTGCCTAAATATATATAAATAGCTTTCTTTGTCACCTGCGGGAGTTCACTGTGAGTGCTAGAGATGTACAGTTCAAAAGTTGCTCTCTGATTGTTCTTCAGTTCTGTCTGTTCGCATCACATCGACTTCCAAGACTTTCATGAACCTCAATGATTAATTTTATCATTACTCTTACTTACACGGTCTTCATATTAAAGCCACAAGGAACACCTGAACGTATAATTTCGACAAAACTTTTAATGACAAGCGAAGGGTCTTGTAATTGTTGTTAATCTAGTTCATAATTAATACGAATACAGTTATAATAGATATGTTATACACAAATTGTATGTCCGTTGAGACATAACCAATCACAGGCGAGTAGACCTCTGACGTCATGCCAGACAGACAGTCACCAGCCGTGCTCCCAGCAGGCTCAGTTCTCTCACAGACCCAGAGTACGTGGACCTCGGCTGGCCAGTTATACACCGTGCTGTCTTAGTCAATAAAACTACAGGAGTGCCTACTGTGTGCATTTTAAGTAACGTTCAGCGCGCATATCCAAACTTGTGTCTGAGTCTGTGAAAACAATTAACATTGTTATTCTATGATTTGAGATGTTTGTGTAAATATTTCCATAATGCTCTCCTTCAGTCAATCGTTACTACCACTTCGACGTGCTATGGCATCTTGTTCTCCAAGTTTCTCGAAGATTTGGGAACATCTTCGACAACAAACGCTTGGATCTTCAACACTGGAGGGTTCGTCGGGAACGTGGCCTCATTCCTAATGGGCCCCGCAGTCGAACAGTTTGGGCACAGGAAGGTGGCCCTGGTGGGAGCTGTCCTAGGTAGCGTTGGGTTGGGCATCTCTGCCTTCGCTACGTCTGCCTGGTTCCTCTTTATATCTTTTTCCTTGCTAACAAGTAAGTCCTTCATGGGTACATGAATACCTCCACATGGTGGCATATTAGGCTATGGAGCTCTGCAATAAACATATTATCACGTTT